TATACCGCCGAGAAAAGCGCCGCGCTCATGCCTATGTCAACTTATCATGAGCGTGATTGCTGCGACCGAGGCTCCCGCGCCCACTGACTCACTCTATCTTTTTCTTTTCTTTTTTTCTCCTGCTCCCCTGTGTCTCGCATTGATGATATCGCGAATGCGAGATAATCGGCTGCTTCACGCCACACACACCCACACACATCCCGCTGGGTAAAAAGCCCCCCCCCCCACCAAAAAGATATCTCCTTTTTTGAAGCGGAGCCCACATATCCTTTTTACCCGTGACATTGCACCTGCAATTTCTCTCTCTCTCTCTCTCTCTCTCGGTCTCTGTCTGTCTCTCTTCTTATCAGCTGCTCCACAGCGCTCCTTACTGAATCGCCTCGTGGGAATTCCCCCCCCCCGTGCACGATTCAGCATGCCTGGAACGCCAATAAAAGTACTTTACTTGGGCCTGGCATGCGAAACGACGGAACGAGTACTAGCAAGCCGAAAAAAAAGCGTGCGTGGGTTGAGAACATGCGTCGTTGGCGGTAGCCGTGGTGGTGCCTTGCCATGGCATTAAGCGCGGTTGCAAAATGCAAGTGTTAATGCGCACAAGCACAACCACGTTGTGCTTGTAACCGGGGCTAGACCTACTATTGCTTCCAGTGGGGGGTGGGGGTATACTAAAGTATCCCGAAAGCGGTTACGTCGTGCGAAACGGCAAGGGTGGAATATACCCAGAGGCCTAGACCTTTTTTACGATGCGGGGCATACACGTATCGAGTTGCTTTTTGACGCCGCTCCACAACACCGTTATGCAGAATATTTCATTAAGAATAGGCTGGTCTCTCATCAACAACCCATCAGACAAGATGGCCGAGCGGTTAAGGCGCATGACTCGTACGTTGAATTCTTGCAATTACCAGTCACCACAAGCGCATTCACTAACAAGCTCTACAGAAGCGAAAGCTTTCCCCCTCTGCGAGGAAGTGTTCATGTAGAGAAATCTGCGTGGGTTCGAGTCCCACTCTTGTCATCATCTTTTTTGCGCCTTGTAAAGTGCCAGACTTTTTTTTTGAGCGAGCATCAACGACAAAGGAACCTGGAGCCTGGGTGCTATTTTTGCGTTGGCGTGTCGCACGCGTGTATCGTAGCTTCGGCATGCATTGCAGTGAGATGAAAGGCCATTGAGAATTTGGGTGTATCCGTGGGCAATGCAGCGACTTGTAGGCAGTGATGGCGATATTTATCTCGTTGACGGATGTCTTTGCAGAAGACGTGCTGTGGGAGTGGTAAAAAGTAGGTAGGGGCTGGCATGAAAATGGCACCTTGATTAAGCCCATGGTGATATTTTTGGTAGACGGAGTGCAATGTCAAAAAAAATTATCTGTATTCCTATATCATATACATAGCTCAAAGTAGTATTTGGAGAGAAGATGAAGAGAAAAAGACACGTAAAAGCAAGATTAACATGGCATACATACATGGACAAGCACAAGCACAAGCGGGAGAGCGGGTCTGGTAACTAATGATCCAAGAAGAAAAAGAAAGAAAGAAAGAAAGAACAAAAGAAAGAAGAAGAAATAACGGCCATTTAATCAGTGGCAACCCAACTGAATAAGCGATCTGTGTAAGAGAGTTCCTGACAGAGTCGATGGTTGCATTTGGTATGCTCGAACTGATAATTTTTTTCACAGCTGAGCTACTGCTGCTGCTGCTGCTGCTGCTGTTACATTGCTGCAGTAAAGTCCAGAAAAGAGAAACAGGGAAAAAAAAAAGAGGTAGAATTTGGCGAAAGTGACACACGACAGCGGGGAAATTGAAATGGACATGGTGGGATGGAGTGTAGGGCTAGCAAGCAGAGGAAGGAGAATGGAAGGGAAGAAGACTGACTGATTGAATAAATACGAGTAGTAGTAGCAGTAGCAGTAGCAGTAATAGTAACAGTATCCAAAAAAAAACAAAAAAAAGTTAGGAAAACGTGGTGTATTTCTCCGTCTTTCTTTTTGTTTTCCTTACCCACCCGCCAGATAAGTCAACACGACATAGTAGAGATGAATGATCAATAAGAATGTAAAAAAAAAGAAAAAGAAAAAAAAACACGAATCGAAAAAGCTCGAGTAAAAAAGCAGATTTCCCAAACCAACCCAACCCAACCCAAACCAAGCCAACCCAACCAAAAAAAACTCTCTCCAACCGGCATGTAAGTAAATAAGAAAGGAAGAGAAAGAGAGAAAATAAATAAATAAAGTAAAACGCCAGCAGCCGCGCTCCAGGTCGAATTCGACAAGGTCCGTCGCATTGGCGAGATTGTTAAGGGCTTCAAGGCCCGTGTTGATCGCTTGGACCGCCGCATATAATTGTTTTTTTGTGGTATCCCGGTACACGCCGGGGAGTTAGCGGGGGGGGGGGGTTGGAGGACGGGAGAAGGGAGAAGGGAAGAAGACTCAGTGCTACCATACACACACATACGACACACGACACACGACATACACACGCAGGACCTTTTCGAACCCGCACCACATCATCCGAGTCATCTCCTCTTCCTCTTCCTATTCCTTCTCCTCCCGCATATCCAACCCCCTAGCCCCTTGTCCTCATCTGTCCCTCCTTCCTAAATCACACACACACACACACAGACAGAGCCATACTTTCATGTCCTCGCGGACACACACACACACTCACACTCACACTCACACCTACATCTACGCTACGTTACCTCAAACTAAGAATGGAAAAGCCTCGCGGCTCGGGAAATCAAAAAAATCTTTTTATTTTAACTAATCTGGAGTGACACAGGGAGAGAGAGAGAGAGAGGTATATATACACCCAAGGGACCCAATGGGATAAAAAGGCCTTTCGTCGATTTCGCGGAGGATGGCGCGGAAGCGGGCGATTTCGGCGTCGGCCATTTGCATGGCGTTGCCCGCGCGGTCGTACTGCACTTGTGTTGCTGTTTGAGTCTGTTGCGTGAGCTGCGCGAAAACCAATCTGTTAGTATTCTGTTTGTTATATATGTATGTATTGCTGTGGGTGTAGGATAACCCGGGCCATCCGCGAGAGAGAGAGAGGAGGAGTAACTTACGTATTGCCAGCGCTGCTGGATCGAATACATCAGGCGGTCAAAATGGGCGCTGAGCGCCTGCAAGCTCGAAGGATCCAGGAGGAGACGGCCGTGGCTAGAGGCGTGAGAAGCAGCGCGCGACGAATTGGAGCCTTGCTGCGAGGCGGCAATCTGCTGCTGGAGATATCTGCTCTCGCTCGAGTTGAGGCCCAGTTCAGACACTGGGATGGCAGACATGTGCACATAGTTTTATCTTAAGAACATGGTCGGACCGGGTTCCCCAACTCTTTTGCGCCACGCTGCTCTCTCCCTCTCTGGCTCTCTGGCTCTCTGGCTCTCTGGCTCTCTGGCTCTCTGGCGCTCTCTTTCGCTCGCTCGTGCCTGGGTGTGTGCGACGTTATGGGCGAGGTCGTGCGGGTCCGAGCCAATTGTTACGAGTGGGGCTTCTTCTGCGCTGCTGGGAAACGTTACAGAGGGGAGCGGGGAAGCCTGCATGCGTCGAGGGAGGGCCCGAAAAAAAGAGAGAGAAAGAGAGGGAGAGGAAAAAACGAGGGAATATGCAAGCTGATGTTGTTTGGCATGGACGGCGGGCGGCTGAGGGCCGGCCAAGTGGCCGCGCTATGAAAACCAGCTCTATGTCACCCTCTCTGTCTTCCCCCCCCCCTCTTTTCCCCCCTCCCCCTCCCACTCCCACTCCCCCCCAAAAGCAAAGACCTACGAACGCCCAACTTATCGCACACCCTCTTCCTCCTCGGTAGCCGACTGCAGCCCTACCGTCGTGCCGTCCAAGTGCCATATCCCGCCCCTCCCTCAGCATTGTTGTGCAGTCGCTGCAGCTGGTCTTATCCGCGACGCAGCGCGTATCGCAATGAGCGGTCTGCGAGCCCCTCGCACGTCCAAGTCGCTCCCCCTCGCCTCTCTACTCGCCCGCCACACGACCGACACTGGACCATTGCGACTGTCGTGCTTTTTGTGCACCCTCCCTCTCGAGCGCTGTGCCGCGCAGAGCTGCCGAAGCGCAGGACAGTGACTCCGCATGCACACCCTCTTCGCTGCCCGCGACAAGGATGTTGGCGTTGTGCCGTTAGGCTCATGGGTGAATGTCGACCCCGCCAGCTCGCACCAAGGGGGGGTGTTGGAACGGTACTCGCACTCCCCACGCGCCCATGGGCGAACCAGATGCAGAAGGTGACAATGCCATGTCAACGTGATGACTTGTTGCAATCGGACAACCACGCCTCAATCAACAGCACTTGGGGGCGTGGCTTTCACGCCAGAGCACAAGACTTGCCGAGGCAGCGACATGCCCCCCCTCCCCTACTTGCTCAAGGCACAACATGGATGATAACGAGGGGGGTGTCCAAGAATGCCTGCTATACGTCCTGCACACGGCGCTTGCGTAAAGTCTGATGATTGTGCACAAATTATCCGTGTCTGCAATTAGTAGTGAAAGTTGCTTTATTGGACAATGGCCTTGGGGTTTGACCCAATATCAACCCCAACCCCCGAGGTATTCTGCTAGGAAGAGTGAGAGCTAGCCAGCCCATGGTCGTTCAAGTCGTCATACAGTTACAGGTAGAGTAGAAGAAACAAAAACAAGGAGAAAAAGAAAAGGGGGTATATACACCAAGCCTGCCAACACTATGCACAACAGAAAGGACAAGGAAAAACATAAACGCTCTACAAAGCGTAATTCTCGGCGTGGAGAAAGATCTCATCGCGCCCACTGTCGCTCCACACACTGCTTTGCAGCTGCGCCACCGTCTGGCTGACACTGATGCGCATCGCGGGGGGTCCACAGACAAACACACAAGTGCGTCTGCCAAAGCTCTTGCTCAACCCCTTGAGTATGTACGGGATGTCCGGGCGTCCGTACTCTGTGCTCCACCCATCCTTCTTCTTGACTGCCGCTGGCAAAAACGCAAACCGCATCAAGTTCTTCTGGAACTCAGTCGGCGTCGACGGGAACCCAAAGTCGAACCCTTGCGCGTTCTCCGTAGGGTTGTGGATGATTTCTGGATTCACCGCACCGGACCCGGCGGATACGGCCTGTGAAATGTCCAGCGAGAGGTTGCGGTCCTGGCGACGGGCAGCAAGTCCACGTGGCGCGGGGGCAATGAGGTCTGGGTTCGAGCTACTGGCTGACTCGGCTGAATTACGTCCGCCGTTGTAGCTGGCGCGTGGTGGGGCAAGATGGCCCCTGTTGATGGGCAGCACATGTGCTTGGGGGAGCGCGGCGATGCTGTCTTCGTTCTCGCGTCGAAGTTCAGACTCCTTCTCCGCGTCGCCTTGCGCGACATCGCGGATCAGAGCAGAGTGTCGCTTGGAAGAGACGCCCGACAAGCGATGCTCAGCAATGTTTTGGAACGCATCGTTGACCTTGTCGTGGAAGTAGAGAGACACTGGACGCGTAGGTGTCTTTGCACTAACCAGGCCGCCTGCAGGATTGCGCTTCGCTGCCGTGATGTAGAACTGGCATTCTACCGTCTCGGGCGGCGCGTACTCTCGACAGATTCGAAGCTCTTCCCGGAACCAATCCATCGTCTCAGGGCGTTTGAGGGCCCAGATGACGTGGATCTTGCGTGTGACCGCCTTGCCATCGCGCATCTTTTTGATCAGGGATAAGAGTTGAGACACGATGGCGGTGATGCCACTGCCGCCAGCGATCAGCACCACGTCGTCAAAGGCCTCGATACGTCGTTGCATGCCTCCATAAGGGCCATCGATAAACGCTCGGTAGGTATGCCAAGGGCCGTGGTCGAGAGCGGTTTCGAGCACCTTCTTGGTGAAACCACCAAATGGTCGAAAGACCAAGACCATGTCCCGGTACCCCTCGCCATACGCCGACGGAAAGTCTTCGCTGCACAGCGAAGCAATGGTAAAGGGGTGATTCTCAAATACCGAGATGCCGGGCATGCGGAGGTAGACGTATTGTCCAGGTCTCCACTTCATCTGGGTTGGGATGGTGATTTTGATGGCGTTTTCGGGCATGAGTGTGACAGCGGCTTCATCACCGATGAGCCATGACATGCTTGCTGGACGAGTCCAGTTGAGGTAGAAAAGCCGCATAATATAAGAAAAGACCCATATGCCCACCGTCGCAAGCAGGTAGTCCCATGATGTGAGGTAGTTGTTGCAATGCCAGAACATCATGCCCAGGAAGACCATGGACACAGGCACATGGACTGCCACAAAGAGTTCGTACATTCGTGCACGGAGAGACGCGATCGAGTGTGTGCAAAGGAAGCATAGCGGAACCAGCGCTGCGATACCTAGAGCCTGTCAGTTGGCAACATATCATCATCCAGAATGGCAGACATACCCGTGCCGTATATGTACATTCCGTCTCTTTGTTGAAACAGCTTTTGAAAAGATTGGCGTGCGCCCTTGTCCCAGATTGGCGTAACGTAGAAGGGGACGGTATGCATGATGCTAAGAACGAGACAAATGTATGCTGCCCATCTGTGAAGCACATTCAATCGTTCGTGGCTGATACCAGTCACCATTGATATGAGATTCGCTTTCATAGCAAGCGCCACGATCCAAGGCACCAAGGCAACTGCCATCATTCCCGAGCGAACTGCCAGTGGGGGTGAGCCATAGGCAATGCTACGCCAGAACAGTGGCTGAGGGACGGTACAGTAAAGAACGCCCAGGAGTAAAGCAAGGACCACAATCACAACAACGGCCAAAGATGGGAACACGATGGGCCTCCATCCTTTCTTGACCTGGATCTGTGGGATCGGGCGATAAAAGATGAATCGGAACAAAGCCACCGTGTTGTTGACGAGGCTGTAAGAAGATACGCTGGATTGTTGTTTTGGCCCACTTGGTAGCGGCCCTTCGCGAGGAAAGAACTTCATGGTGGACTTGTCAGTATCAAGTACTGGAAGCTCGTAGTCTGTGTCGGGAGAAGATGTCTTCGAGGACTGTAATACCTCTTCTTGATGTAGTGCTGTCCGGATCTTGTCCGTGAATAGGTGGTAGTACCGCATGATCGATGCAATGACTAGTAGCGGTATGCAAAAGTAAACATAGGCGAGTGCATATTTGCCACTCTTGTTCCATGGGTCGACCGTGTTGGCTTCGATTAAACCAGGCGGGCTGGTACTATTAAATGGGATGTTGATTCGTCGAAGTAATGTTGAGACCGAGTCGACAATGTCGCGCTCAGCGTGCGACACCACGATGCCCAGTTGCTCCATGGCCAGGCCCGTGCGTGCCACGAGAGCTTCCCGAAGGACAGGCATCCTCGAATATGTAAAAGCTGCTGTCGAAAAAAAGCGTGTCGTGGTTGTCTCGCGAGTCACTTCTGTCAGCAGAAGCCGGAACTCGACGTCGAGGTGTGCTAAGCCGGCGGGTAATGACGTCAGAGTAGTGATCGCTTAAAGAACATCCGGAGTTTCGTTCTACATGGAAACCGAGGTGAAGGGTCGTTTATTGTGATAATGCGCTCTCGAGGCACAGCAGAATGTCGGAACAGGGTTGATATGGTACCGTGGCCGGAGGGATCCCGTGTAGCGATCTGCCAAATTCGCCGCTTGTTTCGGTCGTTGAGGATGGCATACGGTGAGAATGCTCGTCAACAGCGTCAAGAGCAAAGGGTCTGAGGTATGTAGCCACGGTATGCTGATGGCCAGATAGCGTGCGCGAGCAGGAGGCCAGTTCCTTAAGTCGTCCGGCCGGGTGGGGTGCAGGTGACTGGCAGGGATGGGATCGTCGTATCGTGGCAGCAAATGGAGACTGATATTCTACCGCTCACCAGTACCCGCGCTATCGGGCCAAGGTGTGATAGTGAAGACAGGCCAGGGGTCTCGAAAGAGGAATATCGAGCCTAAAGCGCGCCGTCACACTCGCGGCGTGCAGCAAAACACATCAGACTAGGTGTACCGGAGGGCTTTGCAGCTATCGCCGTAATGCGCTCCATGCAGAGCGTGCGCTGTGAGTGGCGAGCAGTGGGCCGGCAAGGAAGCGGGCCGACTTTAGTTATCACTTTGAGGCGCTCTCGGTTGCACCAGGTATCGAGGGCATTCGCTTCCTTCCGTCGTCGCTGGTCGCTGGTCGCTGGTCGCGGGTGGCTTCTGGCATGGCCGCCTTCCTGTCGAGGCGGGCTTGAGTAGTTGCACAGCGCCCACTGGCACTGGCGTGTCTGGGTACCGAGAGCATTCTTCCACTTCGACCTCGTGTGAGACATTTGATGGCGTCGGGCCCTAGCGTAGTCGTCGAGGCACCCGTACAGAGGCCGCAGTGGTATCACAGATGCCAGGGTTCTCCCGCCACTCGGTAGGCCAGGTCCGGTCCATGGCTTAGTCGATGTCGAGATGGGGGCTCGTCTTTGGTTCGCATGACCGGCGGGCGGGCGAATTGGATGGGTGCGGCCCTGAAGGCCTTGCGTGGGCTACTTGCAGCCATGCACGGGAAAAGGAAAAGCGAGAGAGGGTGGAGCGGGGTGGGCTGGTGTTGTGAGGCTTTCACTGGATGTCCATCGGGGCTCTAAGCGCCGGCCATCCCGATGCGGCCTAGCGCCAGGTCAAGCTTTCCGTGACCCGCGGGATGTCCCACGATGCCCTCGTGGTTGGCTGCTCTCCTCCACCCGACATGGCACACCGTCCACTCCACCGCAGCTCGAGCGTTGAGCCCTGTCGCGAAGCTCGGCAGTTTTGAGAAAAAACAAATTCAAATCCATGGAAAAGCGCTCCATCGAGCGGCCCTGGCTCCGTCGTGGTGGGCTGCCCCTAACCCGTTCCAGCGCAGATACGGGCACGTATGGATCCCTCGCCTTGGCCAAATCGGTCGCTGTGAGCCCGGATTCGTCAAACGAGCACAAAGTCATCACAGTCTGCTATCGATTCCAGACACTCGCCCGAGAGGATGAGAAAGCTGGTGAGACAGTCATCGCCTCGACGTCCAGCTGCTCCAACTCGCCACCACCACCACCACCACAACCACAAGCCCGGCATCACGTCAGCGGCCCCCGATCCGACCATTTGCAGCTCCATCCGGTGTACACAAACAGCCAAACATGGAGCCCCTCGATGCACAATCGCTAGGCGCGCACTGGACCCCTTTGAGGCCGAACCGTACGTCAACGCACATGGAAGATGCCTAACCGCCAGCCCTACCGCCTCAGCCCGCCCAAGGCGAGTCGATTAGGGGAACCAGTGTCAACCCAACGTGCCGGATTTTCAGGCACAACTCACGTCTAGACTCATTACGCGCTCGCAATCGTGTAGTGTGGGTAGTTGGCTGCAACTTTATTCCAACGTGCTAAGTTGCCACAATGCAGCCTACCCCAGCCTGCGGGCGATGCACCTCTTGAGCGCTTGGATGGGGTTGCGGGCGTCTGGATGGGCCTGATGGCGCTTCGATCCCTTTCGAGAAGGGTGGCCATATTGATTGCGGCCGCTCGAAATTGCGGTGCAGTAGACGACGTGGGGTTTGGGCGAGCCGAGCGCGCATACCCTCAGTTCAGTACCGTGACGACTTCGCGAAGCGCCCATCAGCATAACAGCAAACGCTCATCATCTCAAAATGGCCACGGCTCCGGCAATCGGCGATAACGGATGTAACAGCACTGATAGTTCATGCTGATACTTTGTCAGGCGTCCTGTTCATTCTATGATTACCTTGCTTACACAGTTTGAGCTCCAGTCGTCTTACCGGCTGAACAGCAATCTTCGTACACCTACTTCAGTAGGACTTGCGACTTGGGCCGGGTGCATGCTTGATGCGCAACGTCGCTTGGGCGCGGCAGTCCAGTCCATCTTACATGCAGGAATGTTTGCAAACATCCGTCCAATCAGCTTGTGCGTTGGAGTGAGCGAATGCAGTGCAACCACCTCGCATGTGCAAGCTCATATATATCCAACCCCTCGGGCCGTATCTAACTTGATGCGTTGCTGCTAACATGTCAAGTTTTTTCTGGATCGTAACACGCTGTCGGGCACTATTGTGTCGCGTTAGCGGGAAGACGGTTGCACAAGCTATTCTTGGATACCTCACAGTTTCTAAGGACGACCCAGGTTCTATGCACCGAGTTATTGCGGTCTACGAATGATTTTACTATTCCTGTTCTCGCATACGGAGTGCCTTGATTCCATCTACCCGCAAGCCTCCAGTGGAGCATTCTGCTGTGTACCAACTCTGACCTTGGCCAATGCACAAAATACACATCAGGCGAACCATCACTAGCAACGCTGAACAGAAAAATGCGCTTCGTTTAACCAAAAGCTTCACAGCAATTTAGAATTAGCACTATCTGCTCGAAAAGTCATGACGCATTAAATCTCGGCATGAGTCGAGATACCCCACTTCTCAATCAAGTTGTGCCTATGCCAAAAGCTCCTATACTGCTTTCCCCAGAAGAAGAAGATAGGGGCTGTGATAATCATGCCACCGGCGACTCCTCCGAAGACGTAAAATACCTGGGCCGGCCCGTCGCTCGCGGCCCAATCGTTGACAAAGTAGGAGAAGCCGTAGAAGAGAAAGTTCTTGAAGACCATGTTGATGATGAAGACTTCGGAGCTGATGTCGCGGAAAGAGTCGAGGACGTAGGAAGAGGAGGAGATGGCGGCGATGACGATTCCGAAGAGGTCCATGCCGTGGAAGAAGGCGGTAAGGTAGAATGAAGAGCCTTTTTGGGCAAAGTGGCCAAAGAAACATAGGCCAATGACAGTAGTGACGGACGGAATCATACCGAGGAGTCGATACTCTGGCTCGTAGACGCCATTGTTCTTCTTTGCACACCATTTGATGAGAGGATCGAGCGTGGCACCGAGGAGGATGGAGCCGATGAGACCACCAAGAAACGGTCCGACAGAGAGATAGCCGACTCCGGCTGGGCTGAGCAGGTACGGAGGCGCCTGGAAGATCTGAGCCATGACATACGACTGCGCAACGAAGAAGGCGGTCAGTCCGCCGGTGATAATGACCATCCATAGAACGGCGAGATTGGTGCAAACGGCAAAGGGCGCAATGCAGAGCTGCAAGAGGTTGTCGTTGGAGTAGGTTCCTGTGAAGATGGCCATCTGTTGCACAAATGTCTTTCTCTTAGGCACCGCCGACACTGCACTTGCATGTGTCTCGAGCTTGACCATATCATCACTTCCCTCCTTCTCGAGTCTTTCAGCAGTCATACGATTCTTCTGCTCCGCCTCGGCAAGTTCTGCGAGGTTGTCGGTGGAAAGCTCGTCAATGTCGTAGCGATGGTCGCGGTTGTAATTGGTTTCTGGAACGAAGAAGAAGAGCAGGATGACTTCGAGTGCGACAAAGGGAATCAGCATATGGAACAGGTAGCGCCATCCGAGGTTCGTTGCGATGGGTCCGACAATAATAGCCGAGAAGTTGGAGGCAGCTCCTAGGATGAACTGGATAAGTGTCATGAAGACGCCACGCTGGTGCACACAGAACAGATCACCAATCATGGAGACTACGAGCGATTCGAAAGCCGTCCTGATGACCATCAGCATAGAGTATCGAGCAGAGCCACGCCAGACTTACACTGAGCCACCTTGGATGATGCGACCGGCCTTTAGACCTTCGTAGCTATTTGCGGCACTGGCAATGACGGTGCCGAGTAGGCCGAAGAGGGATGCAACAAGCAGCTGAGGGCGCTTTCCATACTTGCGCGACAGGGCACTGACTACAGGACCAATACTGCCAGTTACGAGTAGCATATATCCTGAGATGACTGTAATGTCTTTGACAGGTTTGTTGAAATCTTTCGCGATGACCACCAGGGCTGGCGACAAGAGAGGGGAGAGAACAGCAGCATAGAGGACGGAGCCGTAGGCCACGATAATCATGACGACCAGCTTCTGAGTGTAGGACCAGTTGAGCGGATCATTCGGATCATCCGATCTATATTGCGTCAGTCTTGCTGTAGGTCGAGTACCTGGAGGTCTGGACACACGACTTACGGTTGCGGAATAAGGATAATCTCTGAATCTCTACCGGTGCCGCGCTTCAGCGTCGCAGCGGCGGCGGACCCCTCAGGAATATCACCGAGAGGATTCTGCTCCTCACTGAGGATAACGGTTGCAGGAACATGGGCGAGGTGCTTGTCCTCGAGAATACCTAAGAACCCCATGGTTGGTACCGCTATGTCCGTACTACGGGTATAAGAAAAACTGATAACAAAGCACAGAGGAAAATGGGCGATTTGATGGTAGGAAATCTACCATCGGAAGTCTTGTTCAAAAGGGTGCACAATCTGGCGGCAAAAGGCCAGTTAAGAACAATCTCGCCTCCCCCAGTCCCTCTTTGAAACCAGCGTCATTGCCCAATCAGCACCGACAAGGCCTCGTCTGGGGCAATGCAAGGTGTAGAGTATGTGGATACTGTACAGCGTACCCCCGCACTACTCTCATTGTCATTGCAGCTCCAGCCCCACAGAGAGCGATCGGCATTGCATGGACTTCCGCAAGCCGAAGTTGGGGAAACGGCCCTATCAGCACGGTGGCTTGAAACGGAGGATAGGTAGCAGGTGTCTCGAGGGTGTCGTCTCAAGTAAGAGGACGCTATACTAGGACCACAGCATGGTCCCAGCAAGAGGATATGTTGAGTCTATGCAGATGCAGCCTGCATTAAGCAAACGCTGTGTCACATTCGCAATGCACATGTTAACGGCAGCAGGTACCTTGAGCGAAAGCAAAGCCAGAGAGAAAATCATACCAAAGCTTCCTCGTGGACGCCATGCTTTGCGTTCTTCTCGCTTAGAGAGATGGTTCCAACCCCATGAAGCCGAATCATAAGTATCATATGGTACTTCGCAACCCCGGATTTGCGGACAACGAAGCACGCTAGATACCCCGCAGGCAGCCCCACAGCGCCTTTGGGCCATCAGTTTGCGGGCAGGTAAGGCGGACCCCAACTGGCAACGGAGCTACGCCACAATCCTCTCAAGGCTTTAAAACCCGTGGCTTCCACGAACATGCTTGGAGCCCCTCGGGGGGGTCGGGGCTATGGGGAGAAATACGCTTTCCTGTCACCGTCCATCGCAACGGGCGTGTGGTGTTTTGTGGGGCCAATGTCAAGCTACTTACAGCGGCTGTTGGGCATAGTGGTTACCTCGGCCACGTGCCCACGGCGGCGGGTGGGAGTCTGCGACCAAGTACGTAGAACTGACGGCTTGGCAAGTGACCGACTCTCTTCCCTATCTAGCCGTGTCCATGTATTATCTGATGTCCATGCGTAGCCCCCTTTTTTTTCTCTCATGGGGCTATAACTCCGTGAAATATTAGTACACGCGAGAAAGCAGCTGTACTGTACATGTATGTAAGCCCGAGTGATGCAGGGCTCAGGCCACAGGACCAACCAACGGTAAACTGCATGATAGTTTGAACTAGACAGTGATGAAAAGGGAAATTCCGTGGCTATGCAAAGTATCAGTCAACACTCAATGGCAGGCGGAATGTGTAGCGAGCCATCATCACGAGCATGTACATACGTTAGTGGGATGGGCGTGGTCCATGCTCGCGTAAGTACAATATACAATACAAACAAAAAGCCAGAGTTGCGCGCGCTGAGCTCCCCAACCACATTCCCTCCCAAACGTAAAACATGATGAAACAAGGCTGCAAGATGATGATCTACAGCGGATCAAACTCTCTCTGCAATTCATTATCAAACGTCTTTTCCCACAACACGATGCGGCCCAATAACATCTACTTAACCCTCTTACGGCCGCTCCCGCTCAGGCATCCGCGCATACCCGGGGGTAAACCTTGTACCTGAATGCGCCCGTCCCAACAAATGTGTGTGATTTAACTTTTTTTTTCTACATAGTTGCATGGTTTCATACACGCGCTGTTTCACCGTGGCTGACGTTTATTCTGGCCCCATGGTTATATAAGGAGATTTGAAAGCCTAACTACCCACCCACACCCCCTTCCCGAGGAGATGCTTATCGAAGCTTTGCTACGTAAAAGTTTTGCGTTGCAAGTAAGATGCGACTCCACATGTGGGACTCGTGGCCCCTCATGCAAATGATATGCATGTAAGGATGGGGGAAACGACGTGAGATGGCGCGTTCGGTCAGGCAGATACAGATGTAAGAGTGGAACCTTTCGGAAAGCTACTGATACTACAGCATACCCTTTTCCAACATGGAGGACGGATGCAGTGGCGAGATGTCTCCTCGGGTCTGCGCTATGTTGCGAAGTGCCAGGCTTCTATGGTATCTTTCTCAGCTTTCACCTCACGAAGCGATATCAGGACAACTGGATGGAGCAGAAAGTGGTGTGTTGTGAACAGACTACATTTGTGTCGCAGCTCATCACAGGCTCAGTATGATCTTTGCCGCGAAGGCGCCCACACCAACTCCACATATTTTCTTTCCAACGTACCTCACAGTCACTCGCAAGATGAGAATCGTTTGACATGTCTCGCAGACTATACGAAAAAGGTAATGTGAGTGAGTGATGATCTCCTGGCCACAATGAGTCCCTACTGTCGCCAACTGCGAAATCCTTTCATCTTCACTTTGATCTTCACAAATCACACCGCCACTGAAACTTCTGGCTTCCTTTCGCAACATGGAGTGAAGCTTCGAGCACCCACGTGCATCTACCTCTGCAACCACGGATCGTCCGTGCTTCTTGTCGCTCCTGCCTGCCAGTGTTCGACACCTCATCCACTCCAGTCCACTTCTCTTCTCGCCCAAATATTCTTCACCTCTTACCAGCAATGTCGCGGAAACATGGACATCAAAGGCCATTTCAATGCGCCATCTGTGAAGACGCCTTCTCCACAAAGGCTGAGCTGAGCCGCCATACTGAATCCCACATCCACAACCCTGTTGCCACCAGCCTCGTATGCGACGTGTGCAAGTGGGATTTTGATGACTCTCACGCTCTTGAACTCCACCGATTCCAGGCTGGCCACGGTACGCTGAACTTTTCCTGTGAGAACTGCGACGAGCACTTCGTCTCACAAAAGGGCCTCGACGAACACAACAGGCCGCCATTCGGGTGTACGAGAGCTCTCACAGAGAAGAAAGACACAGCCGTCGTCTGCGATCGCTGCAAGAAGAGCTTCAGCACCCGCAAGCGCTACAACGACCACCGAAGCGATTTAGCCAGTGAGTGCGCCGACTGGAGGAACAAAACACCCAAGAAGCAGGCACAGACTGCTCCACAAGGCTACGTTGATCTAGGCAAGCCCAAAAATGGCCAGGCCATACGCAGTTACGAGGATCCCGCGCAGGAGTCGGACGCGTCGACCAACACCAGCAACGGCGGACTTCAATGCAAGGACTGCAAGAAGAAATTCGTATCCCAAAGCCATTATAACAACCACTTTTTGGGATGCGAGCCAATCGTCCCTCGCTCTCAGCTTGGAGCTATCCAAAACAATTCCCGCAATGGGCATCAGGCAACAGCACCAGCGCAAGAACTGCACTTCGCATCGAATACGAGTTACGCAAAGTCTGGATCCAAGACAAAAGCAGACACTACCAAGGCCATGCCAACGCAGAAGAAACCTGTACGATCGCAACAGCAAAAACCTTCGCCAGCCTCCGTCACCCGTGTTTATACATGTGATAGCTGCTGTGCGAGGAGCTTTGGATCTGCGACAAGCCTTGCCCAGCACAAGGCCACATCGAAGAAAAAGAAGCCTGTACAGTCGCAGCAGCAGCAAACTCCACCCGCCTCCTCTGCGCCAGCCCGCGATACCGGTATCTATACCTGTAGTAGCAGCTGTGGAAAGAGCTTCGGGTCTGCGGCAAGCCTTGCCCAGCACAGGGCTTCCGTTCATGGTACTGACGGCCGGAGATTGAATACAAATGGACGTGGGCCAGATCGTGGGGGCAAGAGTAACAATACTTCCACTCAACCCCCTCCACCTCAGCATATCGCCAGTCGACCACCCAGTGTACCCGTCGGACCACCTCGGACAATAGCTCCTCGTCATGTGCCCCCATCTCAACCAAGTGTCACGCCCACGAGCACAAACATTGGCAGTGCTACTGATATCGAGCAGGCCAAGCAAATACAAGCCCGAGCCCTGCGCCTGCTCATCCAGTCCGACATCTTCATACACTATGATGGAAAAATCAGCATCGGCGGCCTTGACTGGACTAGGATCGGTGTCGAGAAACATGCCGAAGTTGTTGATAAGCTTGACAAAATGTGCCACTTACCAAGAGTGCTTCAAAGCGAGTACCTGCCCGCACCCAAGGCCTTTGCCGACGAGTACAACGCCTATTACGATCTCGCCGACTTCAAGCCTTCCCCTGCGCGTGATGCAGAGAAACCAGGCCTCAGTGTCGTTGTCCTGGCATGCAGCAAAGTCGGCCTTGCAAACGACCGTCACGAAGTAGTCAAGCTGGCCGCTATCGACCTCACCACCAGCGCCATACTCATGAACCATTTCGTCTGCACCGATCCCCACGCCCAGGTCTCTGCATGGAACTCCGCAGCCACAGGGCTCTCCAGCTGGCGCGACATGGAAGCCGCGCGACAAGCCGGGTACAAAATCTTCAAAGGCTGGTCTGCCGCCCGCGCCGCACTGCACAAATACATCGACACCGAGACCATCCTCGTCGGACACAATCTGCGCTCCGACCTCGATGCCCTGCGCATGGTGCACGGCCGCGCAGTCGACATTGCAAAGGTCGTGGAGAAAGCGGCCAACGGTCCCCTGAGCAAGCCACAGCTGAGCCTCGATAGCTTGTGCTGCGACTACACGGATAAGAAGCTCAGTCGCGATCCCAAGTACGGCCGCGATTGCCTCGTGGATGCGTTTGCGATTCGTCAGTTTGTTCTGTACGCGATTAAGAATAAGGAGATGCTGGAGAGAGAGGCGAGGCTCAAGAGTGTGGATTATCAGCGTGTTCGGCCTTGTGCGAGTACTGCTACGGGTGTCTGAGGAGCTGCTGTGTGTGTGTGTGGGTCTAGGACATGGCGCTGTGTGAGGATAGGGATGAGTGTGGGGAGTGAAGCATGTGGATAGAGCAGTGCGTGGAGTAATGTGCATACGATAATGCAATGAAACCAAAAAAAAATTCCTTTCAAAAGGCGTACTTGATCCATTCCAGTCATGACATTTCCTACCTAGGCCTTAGCCGCAGCCTCCCTCTCCTCCTGCTCCTTCTCCACGACATCGACGACGAAGGCACCACCGAGCAAAATGGCCGGCTCATCAATACTATGATGCTCATAGCTCAGCATGCCCACACCGCCAGCCTCGAGAATCAAACTGGGATTATCCTCCAACTTCTTGCCTACCCAGCGGCCCGCCAGCGCACGCAGAATATGGCCATGCGCCACAATCAGCACATCGTTTGGTTTCCCGTCTTTCCCAAACCGGCCTTTATGCCACTTTTCGCGCAACTCGAGTATAAACTGATCTAGCCTCCTCGTTACATCCTCGGGGCTCTCGCCGCCTTCACACCCGTCGCGCCAGATGTCCCAGTCAGCGCCGAGCCCGCGCTTCTGCCTGTCTTCTCTGATTTCGCGGGACACGCGGCCCTCGTAGTCGCCGTAGTCCCACTCGCGGACTGCGTCTGTGACTTGGATTTTACAGTGTGTACGGATGTCTGGGGCGCATTCTGCGGGCGAGCTGGATGAGGACCACGGGTAGCGTTCTTTGCAGCCCAGATTGAGCAGTTCGAGCGTGCGTTGGGCGCGGGTGCGCGGGGAGACGTAGCTGTGTGGTGGGAGGAGCTCGTGTTAGATTTTGTCTTTTTTTGTCTGGAGAATTCAAGTCCAAAAGGAGAGAGAGAGAGAGAGAGAAAGAAAGAAAGAGAGAAAGAGAACACACATGTGTGCGAGGTTACTAGGCACGATTAACCGGTCGTCGCCTACAAGCGCTTTGCCCGTTGCGCGCACGCGCTTCTCGCCATTGGCCGTCAGCGGGATATCCGAGATGCCTGTGTGCCGCCCGTTGAGCGACCATTCTGTTTCGCCGTGGCGGATTATAAAAACGCGGGGGTCGGGCATGCTGGAGACTTGGAAATTGTGTTGTTGTGTGTTGTCTCTTGGTTACAGGAGAGAGAGAGAGAGAGAGAGAGAGAACGGAGGGGGTATTGCAAAACGTGTTCAATTGCAAAGTGGGAAACCAGCGCGCGCACTTTAATACGAGAGAAGGGACATTCGGGAGAGGAGAGAAAAGATATTATGCAATGGTTGTTTGAAAGCACCCGTTGACGACGGATGACGTCTGTTTATGGATGGTGGTGGGGCGCGCGCGCCAGGGACATGTGTGCGTGCATGGATTACCCCACCACTGTCGGGCTTTGCACGCGCTGTCATACCTGGCATCATGGGTGTGCATACTAAGGCTTGGTCATCAAATCAGCCTTACTCATGCGACGTGCTGGAACGCACATGTGTGCCGCGCTATCTGGAGGGCGAAAGAGAACTTCAAGTAATGGAAAGAAGTGTAGATGTACTTTGTATTGCCACCACCAAACACATCAGTATCCGATCCAGCTACAAAAAACTACAGGTATACAAGCGGCACTTGTCCTCGGTGCATCCGCAGCCGCATGGGATAATGCGGCAATCCGACGCACTACTCCTGCTTACGCAACACTGTCATCTGCAACGCACTGGTAGTACCATTCTAATCACCGTTAGTATTTAGCGTGTCGGTCATTTTTGATTCGCGGCGCTCGCTCTCTAACGTACCGTTTTGCACCACGCACTTGGCGCCCTTGACGCACTGCGTGCAGCCGGTCCACGGCTTGCCGTCGTGCCAGCCTCCGCACTTGTAGTAGAGAGGCACGGGACATCGGGTGCTGCTTGGGCCTACCTCCTCTGTTGTCGTCTTTGTGGGGTTTTCCGTGGACTTGGTGGTGGTTTTGATGGTGGTCTGGGGTGGGGTTGTTAGCGAGGCGCTCAGCGGTTGGGGAAAGGGATTAGCTGCTGTGATGAGAAAGATATAGGATATGCTGACCTTTGAAGGCGTGGGCGTGGGATTGGGCGATGGTTTCCGGCTTGTCGTCGTCTCTGGTTTCTTGCTCGTTGTCGTGACTTTGCTGGAAGTTGGCTTGGGCGGCTCAGATGTTGGACGGCTGATGTTGTCGCTGCAGCGTCCGCCAATACATGATATGATCCATGTCTGGCGCGGCTCGAGCTGCGCTTGGTTGTCGGCTGGTACCTATTGTTGAGTCAGACGAGTAGACAGAGTCATAGTTAGTGAACATACTGCTGCACAGAGGGCTGAAAGACTCCCAAAGACGACGGCAAGTGTAGTGAGCTTCATTATGAATCGAAGTAGATTTCGGTACTGAGACTGAGATAGAAGTTTGTTTCTTGACCAAAGCTCAACTTGATGGAACGCTGGCAGCATCTTATAGCTGTAACTCACAGTGCTGAGTCGTATGGGTTCGAGACCTGAACGGGAGGATTGAGTACGCGGCTTGGCTACCAGCTGTACATGCCCGCGGGCCCATTACGAGCAGCAGATGGACCTGGCAATACAATACCAACTTGGTTTAATTTGCCTGTGCATTTGTCAATATTGTGGCTACGCAATGGATATGCAGTCCATGGTGTTGAGTATCCGGCGTGCATGGAGAGACATTGTCTATTCATAGACTATGGAACGTTTGGAGAGAGTATCTTTTGTATTCAGTTTAGATGTTGAGAAGATCACAGTAGTTTACATCTTGAGACGGTGCAGCTGTCGTGATACAGTCTATTTTGACATCAGTGAAAGCGTTACCTACCCTGTAAATGGTTGAGCCAACGGCCGTCTAAATCTTTTCAGCTATCATTAAGGCTCGGTAAGATTCCTAGATCCTTCTCGACTGATCTTGATTCTATTCTTATCACTTGTTAAAACAGTTGGACGGGGGTGGTTTAGCCGCAAATTGACATTCAGCCAATCCTTGTCGGTTTGTCAGACACACATAGCACTCGCGATGATTGTGAAAATGTGCCTTGCCACATGGCGTAGGAACAGATTATCCGGCACATGCAATGGCGCTGATAGTCGGAAAAGGATGCGAGAAAACCGAGCAGCGGTGAGGAGACATGGCTCTGGGCGTACCATACTCCAACCCGGCTGAATAGAGAGGCGAGAAGACGGATGCAGGATGATAAGATCCGAATTACCGGGTGCAGTCCACGTGGGTAAACTCCAGACAATCGATGCAAGCGGGTGTGGACAAGCATGTCGGTAGGATGAACGGGAGAGCGAGACCAGAACATTCTGCTCACTTGCTGCTCAACACATCGTCTTGCGTCAGACCATTACCCAACAGGTCTCCCACACCAATCCATTTCCGCACGAGAAACGCGCCTTGTGGTCTGAGTTTCCTGTAGTATCCCTCTTCTTTTCCCAGTATGTCAAAGTTCCGCTTCTTGTACCATTCCATACCCTCTTCGTTTGCTTCCCATACGTGCGCAGTAACAGATCGGACGCTGTGGAGCTCGACGGCCTTCTTGACAATCGCCTGTAGAAGATGCATAGCAATGCCGTGGGCACGGTATGGCGCGAGGACTCCTAGAGTGGAAATGTACAGTTGCGACGAGGGCAGGAGCCGGCATCGCACAGCACCGACAAGGTGCGGTTGGTCTGACGATGCTGCTTCTGCCTCGTTCACAGGAGCCGGGCGCCACACGGCCACCAGCGTGATGCCATGATGTGGCTCCGTCATGGTCTCGTTGTAAAAAGACTCAGGGTATGATATTGGCAAGGTCAGGGTGTTGAGGCGCTTGAATGCAGGTAGGAGTTCTTCGGTAAGCGGTACGAGCTGGACATTCGGCGGCAGAGGACGGAGGGCGAAGAGCTGGGGTATGGCGAGCGACTCGACTGGTGGGAGGATAGGAGTAGGCATTCCCGAAACAGGTGTGACTGCTCGGGATGAACGAGGGCTCTTCTTCGCTCTCGGTCGCGACGGAGCTTGCAGGAAGTCATCCGGGATGTCGTTCCAGTTCTCCATGGCGGCGGGCGTGGGCGTGGTGGTAGGGGGCGCGCGCGGGGGGGCAGAGGCCGACTTTGGGGGAGGGGGGGGTCGATTGGCCTTTGGTGGCATGGACGGAAGCCCATTTTGAGGCGGCTGAGACGGGCGAGGCGGCTGAGACTGCGGGAGCTGTTTGTCGAGGCTGGCCTTTTTCAGCCAGCTATTGAGCGAGGACTGCATGGCGGGGGGGCGAGAGAGGGGCGGATGGCTATGGGGATATGGGCGGAATTGGCGAGGTTAAAAAGAAGGGGTTGAAGGGGGAAAGCAGATTTTATGAAGCGGCGAAGCGGTGCTATGCGCTGCATTACTTTGTGGACCTCGAGTCGGCGTGCCCCTTTGTGCAGAGGCCAGTGTCGCGACAATCGCGGTGGTGGTGTTTAGGGAGCGCGGCCAATAATGATGGGCTGCAGGGATGGTGCTAGCGTGCTTTGGCCGGCCAAGGCTGAGGTCCGACTTCTTCCCGCCAGTGCATCGCTGCTCCAGGAATCCCGCCGTCCCGCCATCGCCATCATGGGAGCCGAGAACTCGAAACCCTCGTCCGAGGTCAAGCAGCATGTCTTCTCGCCGTACGTGCCCGTCTGCCGCCTCAATGGCGGCCCCCCTGTGCTGTAGCGGCGCCGCGCCCGAGTGACGTCGAGTACTGACGATTTTGCGCGCAGAGAACATCCCGTCAGCTTCTCCAACGAGCTGGTCGGCTCGCTGCAGAAAAACACCTACGTAGGCATGCTCTGGGCGAATTGGCCGCCGGCGACTGACTTGGTGCAGACAGACTCGGCCCGGTCACGACAGCAGGAACTGCAGTACCAGCAGCGCCTAACCTCCGAACTCGAGAAGCTGCGCGACCAGGAGATGCACAACTTTACAAAGGTCAGCGAGGATCTCTCCAACGAGGCGCCGCAGCCCGAGCAGCCCTCGCTGGTGGAGAAGATCCAGGACGCCACATCCAGCAGCGCGACGCTCGCCGAAAAGCAACGACAAAAGGACATGAGCAGGGACAGCGTCACCAAGGAGATTGAGCACCTCAAGGCCAAGCTGGAGCAGAGGAAGAAGCTGGAGCAGGCCGACGCCGACGTCACAAAGGCCAAGGAGGCTGTGGTCGCGTGCCTGAGGACCCACGACCGCCGGCCGCTGGATTGCTGGAAAGAAGTCGAGACGTTCAAGCACGAGGTTGGGCGGCTGGAGAAGGAGTTTGTGTACAAGACAATTCGATGAGTGACGTCACGGCATTCCTGTATAGATAGACAAGGCGCGGTGTAGTACCCGGGACGTCTTTTGTATTGGCATACTCTCTGCATCCTCTTACACTGCATCTTCCCCGTCGCTCCTTCTCTTCCTGGCAGCTCACCCACATACCCGCATCACTCACCTACATTCACCCACACCACCGCTGACACCTCACTACAGGCGGCATTTCCCGTGACTTGTTCGCTCAACGACTCTTTTCATCTTCACCGCAGTTCAAAGTGGCGTTGGCGTTACTCACCTCCCATCACCCCGCCATCTAATATGGCCAGCAGCCTCCATGGGCAAGCTCACCTTCACCATCAGTCTTCTAGCGTTTCGGCTCCTACGCTACAATATAACTGCCGATGCTTTATCCAATACTCTGCCCCCATCCATACCTTTCTGACATCACCAATCTCACTTCAATCCACCTCATGACCCGCGGTATGCTAGTAGCCGCAAGCAACAGTTCGACTATCACAACACAAACATCATGTCCGCACCACACCAGTACATCGTGATCGACGATGATGACGATGCCATCGAATTAGAAAGCGATTTTCACCTCATAGACTCTGGCAAGTTGGCACTCAACACCTTTGGGTTATTGCACTAATATCATCCACCCCAGACTCCGAAGGGTCCGAGCCAGAGATTGTTGCGGTCAAGTCTCGCCCATCACCAGATTCATCGTCTCGCATAGACCAATCCACAAATCATCCGCAAGATGCGTCTATCCAGCTACTCAATATCGCCCTCGGCAGCTGGAAGTTGAATAATGGCGCGGTGATCAAGCCAGGCGACACGGTAGAACTACACAGTCCGTCCCAGCAACGCAACGACATGCAGAGTGGAGATTTTCTCCGCGTGATGCATATCATCCAAAACTTGGCAACAGATGATGTCCGACTTCGGGGCCATCGCATGCGCCGCACGAAATACTTTGGTGGATTGTTTGACTGCAAGTAGACAGCCTAGACCCAATGACTTGTACTGACATACCTACAGGGCACTTGAATGAGCTTGCCATAGTACTGCAAGTCAACGAGGATGATAAACGCCCACCTTTTGTTGCTGGCATAGAGGATGTTGACGTTGAAGAAGCCATGTGTCTACGCGAATGCACGCTGACCCACAAGCCGTATCCGTTTCTCAACTTCCAGTCAGATGGCCGATACGCATTTCCCGCAACTATGACGAAAGATCAGATAAAGCGCCAAATCTTCCATGGTGGGAGGTTAACCTGTCGTCTGGTCAATGTACAGTACATGCAAGGTCGAAGCACAAAGTCATACAGCGGCATTGTCCGTCATCTGTACGCCCATGAAGCAGAAAAGCTCCAGCACTCCAATGTCCCTTCACAAACCAGCCTATCACGCAATGGCTCTAACACCGTTGAAGTTGACGACACCGACGATTGCGTCATTATCAGCAAAAGCACTTTTGCCGGTAAATATCCTATAGGCGCTGAACCTGACGTGGAAATTTTTGACAAGGAGCCACCGAGGCCAATCTCTCGACATACCATGGTCAAAGATCGTCTCACATTTGGCGATGCTTTCTGCGGCGCTGGAGGTGCATCGCAAGGCGCCTTACAGGCTGGCTATAACGTCTGTTGGGGCATAGATAAAGATGACCACGCCATTGAAGCATACAGGTTGAACCATCCTGGCGCCTATTCATTGGCAATGGATGCGCATGATTTCCCACCAGAGAACATCAGCAAGAATGCCTGGAGGGTGGATGTCCTCCATTTGTCTCCTCCCTGCTGTTATTTCAGCCCTGCTCAGTATGTACACTTGCTTTCCGTCTAGAGAAGTTAATACTAATGTTGTTAGCACCACTGACGGACCAAACGATCAGTCAAACTATGACGCTACCTTCACTGTTGGGCCAATCTTGAGAAAAATTAAGCCTCGTGTAGCCACGCTGGAGCAAACGTTAGGCATAGTTACGAACAAGCAACACCACAAAACCTTTCTTACGCTGCTGTGTGAGATTGGGCATGCGGGGTACGATTTGCGCTACAAACGCTGGGTTTTTTCAGAACTCGGCCTTGCGCAGAATCGCAAGCGGCTGGTGGTCATCGCCGCTAGGTACTTACATTGTTTGCACACTCGAGTGGATGCATTCTAACATGTCTAGACGCGGCACGCCTTTGCCTCCATTTCCGAACCCCACCCATGGCCCTTGTGGCAGTGGTCTGAAGCCCGTGGTCTCGATCGCGCAAGCACTCTATCCGATGCAGCGTTTTGGACTACGTGTCCATGACCCATATCATAAGCTACGACCATTCCATGTGCCAAAACCCGCCTACAGTCCCGATTCACCCCTGAAGTCGTGTATTACTACGTCAGGAACGCCGGACCCGCATCCTTCTGGTACCCGGAACTTCACGACCCGAGAACTGTCTCTGCTCCAAAGCTTCCCCTATACATATCAGTTTGTGCGATCAAACACACAGGCCAAGGTCAAGATCGGAAATGCTTTTCCGCCCGTGGTAGCCGAGGCAGTGTTCCGGACAATCGCAAACACGCTTAAGGCTGTCGACAGAGGCATCGTCGGAGTACAAGACAACCTCGATGAGCTGCAGTTGGAATTAGGTAAGTTTCTCGAGCGCGGAACTAACGGCGGTGCTCCATGCCGAGCCACTGGTTGATACTTGGGCATCTCAGCAGCCTTGGTGCCGTCTAGTAGCCCTAACGCGAACGATGCGTTTGCGTTTACGAAGTTTTTGTTCGACGGCGTGCTAACTGGCGTGCTAGGTTTCGACGACGACAACGACAGTGCGCCCGCGGGCACGAGGGGGCCACGGCGGAGGGGGCCTCGAGACGAGGACGAGGTGATTGACTTGGTGGGTGCCGACGAAGTCATTGAGCTGCCCAGCGATGAGGACGAGCTCGCATGACGCCGCCATGTGATTGGCGCGGGACGGCGGTGGAACCGCGACGGGGTCTTTCAGCCCACGCCTTAGTCACGCACCGGCGCAAGCACATGACATGAAATTGCCATGCGCACAGCTACACACGCGCCTCCGGAAGGATGGTGCCTGTATAGCACCTGGGCGCACGTCGATTCATGCATGTCGGGTACATGGGGTGAGGCGACCAAAGAGCCACGGCGGAGCTGTTCACGCGTGTGGTGGAATGACGCGCCTACTCGACAGCTAATATGATTAGCGTGTATAAAGCTGATCGCACGATCACACCGGGGTGGCAAAATGCGGAGGAAGATCCTATGCCAAGAAACGGGGCGCCTTGGCTCCCTTGTTCACTGGGCGAGCTGAACTCGGTGTGTGTGTGTGTGTGTGCATGGTCTAGGGTAGGTGGCGGGTAGAATGGCATTGCTGCTTCTCTTCGTTGTACATGATCAGCGTGCAAGATTGACATGGAAAATTGTGCTTGTGTATGTGTATGTGTATGTGTGGAATAAGGCGTGTGAGTTGCGCGTTGCGCTATCTATCCACCAGAATGGCGATCAAAATGTTCCGTCCAACGCCTATTTGTTGCCCTCTCTTCCTCTCTCTCTCTCTCTCTCGCTGATTGTGGCACCCTCCCCCCACCCTCCCCTAAGAAAAAAAAACAGCCATGCTGATGCCCGCCTTGATGTGATTCGCCAAAAGCCTCCCTCGCCATCCCTCCCTCTCGGGGTCCCCTATCGTTGCTTTTTTGGCGTTTGCTTGTGAAAAGAGAGAGAGAAGAATTAAAAAGAAAAGAAAAGAAAAGAACAAGACAAACCAGGAAATGTAACAAGCTGAGAAAGAGGCAAGGGTAACAAGCGACGTGAAAAAAAAGAAGACAACGTCGGAAAAGGCTGCAAATGACGATTGGTATCAGGCACGAGTCAATAATAATAATAATAAGAATATATATATATACATACATATATACATAGTTATATGTATATATAAAAAGGGCTAAGGAAAGGCAGGAAACATATAGATGATCAATCAATCAATCAATCAATCAATCAATCAATCAATCAATCAATCAATCAATCAATCAATCAATCAATCAATCAAAAGCTCCGTAAGGAAGAGAAAAAAGATCAAAGGGAGTAAAACCCGGGTATCAAAGTCACGGAGCCCTGGCTCGCCAACGCAGGACCATCATCATCATCGTCGTCGTCGCCATCGCCATCGCCATCGTCGTAGTCACCATCAGCCTCAGCGTCGGCATGGTCATGGTCATGGTCATGGTGATTGTTATTGTTGTTGTTGTGTTGTCTCGCGGCCTTTCTACGAATGTGGGACCTGAGAGCGAGGACCTGGCCGGCTAGCTCGACCAAATTCTGCTGACAGAGGACGGATCTGAGGATGAGGAAGTCAAAGTAACTTTCCGGGAAGTCGAAATGGAGAGCAATGTCAGCAATGTGCAGGCGGGCTAGCGCCTTGCGGAATAGCGGGTTGGCGTCGGCCATGTAGAAGCCTGTCAGCATTTGCTGGGCCTCGAGCCGGGCGGTGTGGTCTTTACTCCAACTGGAACTGGCGTGGTCGTGGTGGTGCATGCTGGGACTGGGGTTGCTGCTGGTGCTGGTGCTGGTGCTGGCCATATTGTGGCTGCTGCTGGTGGTGCTATTATTATTAACGTTGCTGCTGCTAGTACTACTAGCACCACCACCACTACCACCACCACCACCACTATTACTGCTGCTGCTGCTACTGCTGCCACACACCCTGGACTCATCAATATAGCGCCTAGTATCCGCGCACAACTTCAAGCTGAGCAAGCGGGTTTCGACGGCCGAAAGCAGAAACGACAAGCTTGTGCTGTAGCGCTGAGCGCCAACACACACGGGGATCCAGATTCCCGATCTCCGATCGCGGATTGTGTGCATGCTTTTTGGGTAGTAGAGCAGATCGACTTGCAGGTGCCGGACCAGCGGCAGGTCGCGCAGCTGGAGGGGCGGCTCAAAAGCACCCGACCCCTCTTCTTCGTCGTGGTCCTCGGCATCTTCGTCCGAGCCAGTGCTGGGCCGCGACGGCGGGATCGAGGTGATGTAAAAGGTGTTTCGGCCGAAGAAGATGGAGCGCGCTTCGTGGTAGATTTGCTTATTGGTTCGGAGGATGGCGGTGTGCAGATCGTAGCTGGTGTCTTGACGCGCAACGGGGCCCTTGAGCGGCGAAGACGCGACAAGGAGGTGCGAGTAAATGTGAAGACGGAGCTCTGGAGGGAGGACGTCGAGGAATGGCGAGCGCGTCGTTGTAGTAGAAGCCATTTTAGAAGGATGGCTTGGCCTTGGCCTTGATGCGGGTTGATTGGCTGACTGGATGGATGGATGGATGGATGGTTGGTTGGTTGGTTGCTGGTTGGCTGACTGGCTGTCTCTCTCTTCCTCTTCCTCAATCTCCCTCTGTCTCTTTCAATGCGTACAAGTCTTGTCGCCTTTTATATAGTGGCTGACTGGGGGGGGAGGGGGAGGACGTGGACAGATGGATAAAAAAAGACGTGAAACAAGGTTATGGATCCTTCTCGTGCACATACATATGTACAAGACAAGAATAGCCCCAGCCCAAAAGTTACGGCGACAGGAGATGAGGGCAAGCCAAGGCGACGTCAAGTCTCAGGTCAATCAAAGACATTCCATGGGCAGGTCAAGAAATAATGGAGGGAGAGAGAGAGCGCGCACCCCTGGTTCTTATCCTCATTCCTCGAGGCGGACCGCGCCACCAAGGGACCCAGTCGGCATCGTCATTCTTTCCCAAGCCCATTCGCATTTGTAACGCTTGATTCGCTCCACCTAGCGTTCTAGGAACCATATAGCCAGGAAGCCCTTTATCGGCAATCTTTAGGGAAACGAACCCCAGCAGCAGCACACAAACAGTCCATGCGCCCCCAAACACGTACTGGCAAATGCGCCTAGGAGGCCACACCCCCCCCCACTTTGCGATGGCCTTGCGGATCATGGATGTGCCCGCAGGGATTAATTCCACGCGGTATACCAAGGCCTAAGCTGGGAGCTGGGGCGGATGCGCACCTAGGCAGGCTTGAATCGGTGTAAGAAGCATCAGACTATGGGCGATGGTTCGGGAACGCACTGGGGAGGGCATGTCGAGCGGCTGACGGGCCCTGCACTACCACCTTTGATCAAACAAGAGCCCCCGTAGTCTCTCTTCCTAGTATGTTTCTGGAAACGATGGAAGACCCAAGCCCCCCCTCGGGAGTCGTTTCGTCGGTCGGCTACGCTAGCTAATCCGCTCTAGACTCCGAAAGCTTCTCTCTACTGGTCCAGTATGCGCAAACGCGACTCGCGCATAGCGAACCATTTTGACACCTGAAGAAGGGGAGGCGAGGAGTGGAGATGGAAAAATTCGAGGCTGTCGTTTGGATAAAGACTCGCTCGTGGGGGGGGGGAGTATCCGCCCACGCCCACAGACGAGTGTGGGCGTGCTCCACCTCGCCAGATCTCGGCGTCCTGCTATCGGTCTTGAGGCGGAGCCGGTCCATGAGGACGACGAGGGGCGGCGTCATTACACCTGGAAAAAAAAAAGAGAGAAGGAGATGGAGAAGGAGAGCATGTGCCTGCATCGTTACCGCGGCACATAGTCTCACACATAGACACAAGGCCGAAGACAGCCTTGGTACCCAAACCGAAAGTGCCCTCAAATTTACCTAGTCGGGCAGACTTGATCAATTAGAGCGCCAGCTTTTCCCAACCCCCCCCCCGCCCTCCCCTTCCAGCATGTTTTTTCTCTCGGCGAAAAGAACACGACCGAGCGCGAAACGACGCCAAATTGTTTGCGTTGCCCTTTCCTCCCCAATGTGCCGCCCTTCCACCAACGGGTTCCAGCCGCAAAGCTCCCCGTCGGACAAAAAACTCAAAATCAGCACTTTATAGTCCGTCCGAATGTAGTGTAGCAGCGTAAAGTTCAGCCTATCTCTCTTTTCTCTCCCTCTCTCTTGTGTCTGCCCTTCAGCTTTGCCTCCCTAAGCAGTAGAATCGGCGATTCGTTCGGACAAGGGGGATAGTGTGTCAAGCTTTTGTTTGGGCTCAAGATGCGGCTGGCAAGCCAGCAAAAGGGCAAGGCGATTGTTCGTGATGATGACTTATCCCCAAGGCATCCAGGGATGGGGGCGTTTACATAACAGAGACGAACGGGAGCGCACATGGCGCCCTAGAGAGAGATCAGCGCCACAGAGCCTCGTGCAAAGAAGCCGTGCGAATGAAATCAAGAGCCACAATACACAGTAGTCTCCACAGAGGCGTGCACGAGGGCGCCATCGAAACGCCACCAGGGTCTCTTCTCTTTGTCACTCTTCTGGAAGCAAGCAAGCAAGGAGACGACGGGCGCAAGAAGTGAGCGAAGAAAGGTCCGCGAAGCAGGTACAGGGTCGGCTCCGATTTAGTTTCGGGCCCGCGTGGGCCACTGCAAAGCCGAGCGGCATGTATGCTTTGCCATTACCAACGTTGGCACGCTGACTGGCTGACACGACCCCTCCTGAGCGTGACCCAGGCCGGCCACGACGACATAGAGGCTACATGAGCGTCATATAGTGCCAAGAGACCAAGCATGCGTTAGGATGGGAAACCCGGTCCGCCGATCATGGAAACCTCCGAGCCATTGCCGTGTAGCCGCGGCTTCGACTGGTCGTTGTGTCCTGGATAAGCCGTTTTTGCTGGCTCCCCAAAAGGCCTTCCATCTCGGGCGCCCTAAACGCACACCATTCGCGTGGTTTGACATGGGCAGAGGTGGGGGTGGGGGGGATGGCGGGAAAAGGAAATACAGCGATGCCCATGTGTGTGCGTCCGTCCGATTTGCGCCCGCTCCGCTCTGATGCTCGTCGCCGGTCGTGCTTGTTGCTCCCCATGCGATTCTTCGGGTACATCTCCGCCCGCACTGTGCACCCCGGCACGCCCACAGACACACACAGATCCATCAGTCGGTTTGGGTGTGGCGCCTCTTGGGGGAGGGCTTTGATCGGGCCGTCTGCGAGGCGCCAGAGGGGTAGCAGGTCGAAGCAGCCAAGGGCCGTGGGCCAACCGCGAAAAAAAACGAACAGGCTCGCACTCGCGGAGCGCAAGCGCAGCGGTTACGTGCGTAAGTGCGGGCAGTAATTTGGGCTTTGGCGTGTATGCGTGTGTACGCGCGAGGGCGTTGGATTCGCCGAGCGCTGGGCGTGGGCTGTCAGGAAGGCATGCCGACCGAAGGACTGGAGAGAGGGGGGTTTGGCAGCTTCGTATCTCTGCGCATATGACGCAAAAATCGTACGATGGGCTGGGGAGGGCCATGGAAAGCCAAACGGCGCCCCTGGTAGGCCATGGGCGTGCTGGAGGCCATGCACATGTGCGTACACGCCAACCCAACGCCTATACAGTACACGCGCATGGCTCCCTGGCATGGCGGCTACCTGCAGAGCCAAGCTCATAAGGAACGACCCTGATCGGCAGCGGGTCAGACAAGCATTGCGACCTGGGGGATGGGCACAGCAGTGGCAGTGTTGGTTGCTGTCAGCAAATTGTAGCCCGCGAGTGACAGGTGGTGACGGGGGCTCGTCGCCAGACGGCCGCTGGATGAGCATCCGATGGGCGCCTCGTCAGCCAAGGGCGTGAGCACTGGAACATTCCGGGCGCGTCGTCAGCGTCAGACGGGAGAATGTCGGCCAAATAGCTGGTCCAGCAGCCTGAGTGTTTTCCGAATCTGCGTGTGTGCGTGAGAGAGAGAGAGAGAGAGAGAGAGAGAGAGAGCGGGAGAGAGCGAGAGCGGGAGAGAGAGGGAGAGAGCGTGGGTGCAAATCCAGCGGGAATAGTAGCCGCTTTGTGCGCGCTTGGACGCTGCGTAGTCGCCTCGAACTGCCCTTTTTCTCCGCCGTCCAACAACCGTCGACGGCTACCACCAACCCCAGAACAGCATGGATTACTTACTACGCCAACAAGAAAAAAATCAAGACAGCGCCATGTGCCAAACACGACGACGAGACGTTGCAATCTGCCGTCAGCATCTCGACCGCGCAACCCACTCGCCTGGCTTGGTCGTCGGCATCGCAGCCCTCGTAGCAGCACGTTGCATGGTACAACCGCCAAACTGACAGACAGACAGACAGACAGACAGACAAACAACCATCTGCCGCTCAGCTTCTCCTCCCTTCTAGGCCTGTAGCAGTCTGGGTTCTGGGATCATGGAATCTCACTCGGCAAAACGCCCTTCCCTCCCGTGACCATATCCCCGGTATCTTTGCTCCCATGCATCCAACACCACCCCGTCTCTCTCCACACATACGCACACAGAGAGATAACACTATAGTACCGCACAAAGGCCTTTCCCTTCTCCCCGCACACGCACACACGCACACTTGGCCAAGGTCCCTTGTCCGCCATGCCATGCTGCTTCGGGGTGCCCGCTGCATAGAAGCCCAAGGGAAGCCACTAGCAACCAACGAACAAACCGAAACGGGCCGTTCGGTCCAGTCTCCCCCTCTCCCCAACCCGGTCATCATCATCATCACCATCATCCTGCTCCTTCAGCTCCTCATCTCTGCTACTCCAACGGCGGCTCGTGCACACAAAGCAGCCCAGCAGCTCGTCTAGGTCTTGGAACACCCGCCCCCTCCCCTCCCAAGCGAAACCCAAGCGAAACCCAGACTCGGCGCGGACCCATTTCTGATTCCGAAATTTTCTTAATTTTCTTTCTTGCTTTCGTGGTTGGCTTGGAACTTGGTTTTTTTTTGGCTGCTGCTCGGTAAGCGGCGACCACTCCATGACCGTGACCACCCACACGACCATGACCGCGAAAGAAAGACCCCCCCCCCTCGCCAGCCAACCCCCCCAGCCCCTCCGAATCCCCAACCCAATCCGCCTAACGTCCATGTAACGGACGGCGAGTATATGTGCCGAGCCCATGTGCCGCAGCGGCAAAAAGTGAAAGTGGCATTGCGGAAGCGCACAGCGCTATGCGGGCTTTTTTCTTTTCCACCCCACGATTGGCGTTGGGTGTGGACATGGGACTCGGCATCGTCCACGGGCTCTGTGTGAGAAAGCCAGAAAGAGGCAGGACACACACACACACAGAAAGATGGATAGCCAAGAGGGGGTAGGGGTAGGGGGGAGGGGTGGGTGTGTTGGCGGGCATACCTCTCGGTGCACACACACACACAGACGCATTGCTGATCTCGATCCACGACGGCGACGTTCGATCACCAAGACGGCGATTGCTCCATCACCACGCCGGCGACGTTGCACAGCCGTGTCGCCGTCGCCGTCATATGATGGGATGCATACATGCATGGGGCAGGCAGTCAAGATTACCCATCACCAAACTGTGCTGCTTCAAAGGCGGGGTCTCCGCGCCGCCACTACTCCTCCTCGTACCACGATGTACCTACCGAGTTATTAGTAAGAAAAGCCCACGAGCTGCTCGTCCCCCCTTCCCCCAAACGAGGCGACGGCCCGGCATGTCCCGTTATTGTTTTACGACTAGCTCGCTAATATGGAGGGGGGGGTCACTCGTCTCATACCCAGTACCATGCCAGTACCGGTATGTACCTTTGTTCCGAGACACCAGAGCACACACACACACACGCACACACAACAAAGCCCGCGCGCCCTCGACTCGTTTAATTGCAAGTCTGCACTTGGGGACATGGGGATAAAACGGGGGAAGGGGGGTAGAGGGGCCGGTATGCAACTAGGGGGGAGGGAGGGTCTGCAGGGTTAAGTGCTGGACGAGTGACTTTCAGACTTTTTGTGTTCTTCTTCTTTTTGCTTGAATGCATGCTTCGTGTGCGCTCCCCGCGCCGATTTTGTCTCTCTTCTTGTTGTTGTTGTTGTTGATAGTTTGATTTTTCCGTCCATACAACAACCGCATGTCTTGCTTGGGATAGTTTCGTTTTGCTTCGTATCGTAGATTAATCGTACGACTACTTTGCAGTACGCGGGTCATGTGGGTTATTTTGTGTCTAGCTACAAGAAGAAGTATCATGGTAGAACTTATGCATGTGTCAGTCAATGATAACGATAGTCCAAGTGCTATTCCTATTTACACATACATACGTGCATGCTTGCTCGCATGGACTTACCCAGGAAAGCTGACTTTCAGGTCTACCTTGATGGCCAAAGCGCACTTATCCTGGCTTCAACCATGACCGTGCGAGGCATGTACCATCAATAGAAAGGCTGAGAGATTAAGGCAACTCATTTCATTCGTAACTACCAGCGTCAGCGGTATGGCTGGTTGCTTCTTTCCCACATTCCAGTCGTTCAAGTCGTCTATCATAAGTCATCAAGGCCCTCTTCTCTGTTGTAGATCCATACCCAAACGCTTTCAAACAGCACAATGGAAAGCAAAGACCAACAAACAAGATAGAGGACAGGTGTGTAAAAAAAAAGAGAGAAAGAGATATAGTAATACACTTGTGCACTCGACTACCTTCGCACCCTTGTGTCGGCCGGGACCCTAGTAGTTCCTGCGACGCCTCGTCTTCACAGGCGAGCCATTGCCCTCGGAGCTGCTGCTAAAGTAGTCGTACTCGTCTTCATCGCGACCATAGTCATATCCATGATCAGGACGGCGATCGCACCTAGTATTATTCCTGCGATCGTCTCGTCGCAAGTCACGCTCTTCGCCACCACGCGATTTGGAGCGGAAGCGGTCAATAACACTGCGGCTTCTAGCGCGGAGACCAGGGCCTTTGCTGTGTTCCCGATCCTGCGTGTGAGCTCGCGATCGGGAACGGGAGCGGGACGTGGAGCGGCGATCGCTTCGGCTTCTGCTTGTATATTAGAAACTTTGTAATATAATAGAACGCGTGTCCCATCACCAACCTTGACCGTGTCGCCAGTTGCCGAGCCCCCCAAGCACCCGCTGCTGCTCCTGCCAGCGTCGTCAGTCTACTTTTACCCAAGGACCTGCCCGCAAAACCACCCGCCAACGCACCTCCCACCGACGCCGCCAAGCCCTTCTCGCGAAGATCCATACTGTCGAATCTGCCACGCACTTTAGCCATGCGCGAATCATCTCGACCATGGTCTTTGCCAGAACGGGAGCGGTGTGAGTGGGAGTCTGCAGACCTGGCCCGATTTTGGTGGCGCTGCCTATGCCCGCGGTAGGCGTCTACCGGAGGCGGAGCGTATTGCATCATTTCCTCGCGTGCAGGAGGAGCGGCGTAGGTTGAATAAGGCCCGCTAGGCTGAGAGTTGGATCGTCGACGACTGAATGGCGGCGGAGATGGCTGGTAGCCGGCGCCGCTGGCAGGGAAATCGGTATAATGATAGGGATTCAGGGGCGAGTTGGAGCCTACTGGCGGGGGAGGAATGGACCCATCTGCGCCAGATGGAGGTGCTGCAGCATTATACACAGGACTAGGTGTGTACCGAGAGTGGCCTCTGGGGGCATCATACTGCCCGTAGTCTACATTGACAGCGCTGGGCGGAGAAGGTGCTGCCTTTGGAGTGTTAGTGAGTGGGCGCCGAAGCAGCGCCGCAAGAGGCGGCTCATAGGACGGGGTGAAACTAGCAGGAACTGGAGAAGCACGCGAAATTGTGTCAAGAAGACGGGGTGGAAATAAAGAAGGGCTTGACGGGGTCGACATTGTCCAGCTGGTCAACAGAGGCGGAGACGAGTTCACCGGTGTTGAATGCTCGGGCATTGCCGCAAGAGTTGCACGTCGAAAAGATGAAAGTCTATTTACCTGAGGCGCATATCCGTACGAGGGGGCTGCAGACGACCGGTGTTGGTGGCCGGGTGCTGGACCAGGGTTATACTCCTGGGGGTTGTAGGGCTTGTACTCGGAAGTGGGTGGAGGGGGGAAGTAGGGCTGTCTCGGCTCATGCTGCGCCATTGTTTCTCTCGAGTCGCTGTGCTGACCGTCAAGGTCGCTGCTGTGTCTGCGATGCCGGCCGCGGCTTGGACTTCTGCTAGATGTCCTTCCCGTGCTCTTTGCTCGCCGTCGCTCTCTTTTCCTCCGCTCGCGTTCGCGCTCGTAGTCGGAGTCGTCCGAAGCAGCTGAATACTGCGTCGCTGGGCTGGGGGCTCTTCGCGAACTGCGCTTGCTGTACTGGTCTTCGCTCCTGTGGCGTGTCCTGCCGTCTTTCTTGCGCTGTTTGCGTTCCCGTTCGATTTCCTTTTGTTCCTGGGGGGTGAAGAAGCCGCCGGGTATCTTTTCGAAGAACTTGTCGGGGATCTGCTCTGCGCCGTAGCTCAGAGCCTTGAAAGCCAGGGCTGCCATCTTTCAACGTCGTCAGAGAATCCGGGTATCGGGACGTGACGTATGTTCGTCTTGGGAGCGGCGCTGTGATTGGAGCGCAGTCTACTGGACCCAGCCAAGGAACGGGGGAGCCTTGCTAACTATGTCGACGGTGTGCAGACGGATTGGACGTGAGTGTGGCGGATAGTAGAGCAGAGATTGTGGCGTGAGAGCAGGACAGGGAGCGTATGTATTGAAAGACGGGGGTGGTGGGTTAGTCGAGGCCTTGCTTGGGGAGTATGTACGGTGAGAGGAAGCAATCCAATAAGTTACCCAAGGTATGTAATATGGCGAGCAAATGGCCAGTAAGTGCTGGAGCGCAATGGGAAGGGGGCAAGGGCAAGAGGCAATTAGTAGATATATCAGTTGGGCGCCTGCGCTTAAAGGCCACGATATAGCTGGCTGGATGTTCTGGTGCTAGTGCAATGTCGTGGTAGGCACGCCGCCCCTATGACGTCGTGTGTCGTCCAGAGGGCCCGTGCGTCGTACGTCATTGCAGCCGCAGCTCTAGAGATCGCCCATGGCCAACAGCCCTACGCGGGCGAAAAAAGGGTTTCATTGATCAACATCCCCAGTAATTGCTGCTTGTTCCAAGCTCCAGTTTGCCCGTTGGGAGAGAAGAGTCTTGCTGCAACTTGGACAGTGACAGCATACACCACAGCTCGCCTGTACACGACGCGTGGCTGTCATACTCGACGACTTGCATATCACGTGGGTTTATAGGCCAAAACAAGGCCTTTGCGACATGCAGAAAAATCCCATTGCGGAAATCCCCTAGCTCTCGGGCCATGATCGCCATACATTCAGGGGTTTCCTTTACGGAAACATGCAGTCTTACGAAGTAGTCTGCCTATTATACCGTGGTCGGAATCGCATTTTTCCCTACCAATCGTGGTATTTTCCCCCGCAATCCTGCTTCAAGCTAGTAGTTGCGGTGATCAAATCGCCTGGTCTTGTTTTTAGCAGCACGTATACTGCAATTATAATAGAAAACGTCGTCATCTGTATAATATCTGACTCGTTTATTCTTAATTAATTTCTTTGTAATAATAAGGCTGAAAGTTTTGCTTCGTATCTCAACAAGTATACATCACTTTTAAGAGACTATTCACTACAAGAAACCACGTCACCTCGCCTTAGCTAGCGTAGTCAGCCTCACATTTCTTCGACTGCTAACCACATTTATGACGGAAGAAAGCATATCATTAAATCAGTGTCGATCTTGGGCAACGGTACTAGCAGGGCTACTATATTATACCCTCCGATGTATCGCTTCCTATCGATTCTACGGGGGGACAAAACTACAAATGCAATACTTTCATTGACTCACTCCCGGAAATTGGATGCCAGGTACGGTGAGTTGACGGGTAGAAAAAGTGGGTGTATCGATTTCACGGAAACTGATGTTTGGTTAGATGGATCCTCTTCATAGGGCGTTGGGGGTGGGTAGAAACTTACTAGAAAACGCCAAATGGAGGCTTCCCCCCAGCTGCTTTGGCAGCCTCACCACCGTTCAACTCCTGGAATCCCAAAAGCTCAAACTTTCCAGCATAAGGTTCCATAAAAAGGACTTCATGGTACAGAGAGCCATAAACAGGTGGGATATAGCGACCACTCTGTGACATGATAACAAATCGGTAAGGCGTAGTCCCGGCTTCAAATACTGGGAAGATACCCAAGCTCGCGCTGAGGGCGGCAGCTTTATCCGGAGCGTCGGCTTCGTTCAAAGTAGGGAAGAACAAATCTATCATCTGTTAGCTAACTCAGAGCTTTAGAAGAAAGGGATTACTTACCTTGTATAGAATAGACTCCGGAAGGGCCCTTACTCTGCCACCCCGGGCCACGTGCCTTTAGGGCTTTCAATGCTTCATCAGTGAGAGGAGTCGTGGTAGTAACCCACGTCTGCACCGGATTCATTTTACCCAGTGCAGATTCTAGTTGAGGGCTGTGAGATTCTGAACCAACCCATGCAATGACCGCCTCTCTTTCTTCGTTCGTAAATCCATATGTCTCGGTCGCGGCATCCCGAATTTTTCTAGCCCAAGGTACCCGATTGCTTGGTCGAACTCTCCCCTCGGCATAAAATTTGCTAACAGCGTCGTAAAACGATCTCGTAACATCATCCAGTTTTGGATACGCCGGGTCGTTGGCGATATAATATTTTGCCCACTGATCTGATCCTTCTTTCAGAACATCCAATCTCGTCGCGTCAGTTACCAGTTCGACAGTGGGTCCAATAGTGCGCTCGCTCAAGCCTACGGCTTCTTGTATGACGGTGGCTTGCACAAAAGCGTCGTCGATATCGCCACCACCCAGGCCCAGCTCTTCTAGCGGATTTTCTCTTGGACCAGAGAAACAACAGAGTCTCTTAAGGAAACTGCCGACTTGTCTTCTTGCTACTGTGCCGACGCACTCTCTGCAGTTGAGAAATGCTATATCCGAATTAGCATGGGCCAGATTAGGAATGTGTACAGTAATAGCTTCTTACTGTTCTCACTCGTCGTCTTCTCCATCTCACTAATGGCCGAATCGGTGAACAGGGGCGCTGCTTTTCCATCACCATAGTTGTTGAAGATCTGAACTGTGTTGGACCCTTCAGTCGCCTCAAGAACAGAACCTCCTTTGGTCCCCCAAGCCTTGGGCTTGAACTTTGCCATGACAGCATCCATGAATCCAACGAATTCCGCAGCCTTTGCAGCCTTTGCAATATCACCAACGACCCATAGGAGGCTGACTATCTCGGCAAAAATATTGCCTGCTCTCTCAATATCGCTGTTGAGTGGAAGCGGCGCAATTAACTAAGATATATTATCAGGTCATCAGTTTCTACCACTTCTGATTGGTAGACTCACCGTATGCTCTTTAAAAGCGTCAGAACAGCCCTGCCGAATGCTGGCCGCGGCGGTTTTATCTTGAACGAGAAGACTGGCGCCAATGCAATTGGCTCTGGAGGAAGCGACCATTCCGTCCCGAAAGAAGTTGACCAAGCTAATCCCAGAGTTGATGATGTTCTTCATGACACCTAGAACAACCGCATTAGCATCAATCTATATTAATAACAGAGAGTGGATACCTACCAGTCCAAAACTCGTCTATAGCTGAACGAACACCAGGGATACCTGCAAAAAGGGGGTCTAACAGCTGTCGTCGGGCCAGGCCCTCAGTAGTGTCAAGGCTCCGCGACGAAACCGACCCTCCCGACCCCGATACAAATTGCACAATACCAGCAAACTTTCCTGAAAGACAGGCAGCGCCGCTGGGATTCGCCACGCAAGGACCGAGCTGCACTCTACGGAAACAGGCCTCCACTTCAGCGGAAGCGTTCATCCCAAGTCTGCGCGCAGGGACGTCGAAGCAGAAGGCAGGCACAAGGGCAAGCATACATTTCTGCAGGTGAGGATTGGAAACGCAATCGGATGACATGCCATTGACTGCCCGCGAAACGAGGCAATCTTGCGAAGAAGTATCGCCGCACCCTGGGAGGAGAAACTCGTTTGTGAGAGTTGTTGCAGGAGGGATATCGGCTCCAATCAGACTTGTAATGTTGCTCATAAGAACGTGGAAATTTGCTCCGGGTGGGACAACGGTGAGACCGCTGCTCGCATCATACAAGCAAATGTTCGCTTTTGCGAGAGTCTTACTGTCTACACCCAGCGCTCCTGTAGCAGTGATGTGCTTCACGCTGAAGACATCGGCATTGTACAGAAAGTACGGCGGTGCAGTGTCATACCTCATCTGTAGACGGTCATTAACCTAGTCCGATGGAGAACTAAAGGAATACGTTGTCCCACGTACATAATATTGGAAGGCTCGATCTGAACCGCAAGGCTTCACTTGTGTAGTCCCTGAGGATGAAAGCCAGCAGCCACCGCCCACTGCACCTGGCTCTGAGGCCTGGATAAATGTTTGCGTGTTGGTATCATATGAATCCCTGCTTCAACCAGCCGTTGGTTAGACGAAATAAGGTCGAACCTTTCGCACCCGGCGCTGAGCCTCCAACGGTAACTGTGTCGGATGAATAGATAGGCAGTACGGTCTTACTGCTCTGTGCATCTTTGAGGTTTGTGGGGCAAGTCTGGATATCCGCACTTGCAGTCACGAAGAACTTCATGTCCATTCCAAGCGTCTGTGTATGTCTCTATTAGCGGCCTACATCATAGATACACATGTACCTATTCATGTATAAACATCAAAGACTGACCCATTCGATGGTTTTTCCATCCTGTGCGGCGCCTCTACTGCCAAACAATAGTACAGCATTAAGAAAGTGCACTGAGAGACAGTGCGAGAAACGACTCCGACTGAACATCTTTACGTAGCCTGTTCCCGCACGCTAGGTGTAGGCAAAACCTTGGCTTTGGGGGCCACCTCTGATTCATAAACTATTTAAATATCATTCTCTAAGCCCACACAATCAGATTTCATAAAACTGCATTATTCTCACCGCTGCCTGATAATGTGTATCTTACTGCGTTGTGAAAGCCGCTGTGTCAGCACGTCAAAATCACTCATAAAGCAATTAAAATTACACGATTAGGGAATACCTCGGTCGAATGCTATACAAAATCGAGAAAGTAGGCTCTCAAAGTAAAGCCATGTGCAGCGGAAGGACCGAAAACTTTCGGTTCAATGATTATGCCAAGGTAAGCAAAGAAAACCACTCACAACCCTTGTCTACCTACTCCAAGGCCGTACTAGCCTCCATTTCCAAAACATATCCTCCAGACTTTGTACAGGCTATCAGGCATATTATCTTGTCACCCAAATCGTTGCACGCATATGTAGGGGGTTGTGTTGCAAAAGGAATCATGTGTGTTGCATTTTTCTTTGCTAGTTCTTCTATTACTTTCTTCTCATCGCGAATAGAGCTTGGTATCATTCATTACTAATAATACATTGGAAATTCTCAGCAAGCTCGCTAATCTTTCTATAATTGCCAATTGTCTGTGATTGGTGTAGGGGCTCGTCATACATATATGGACTACCACCATGTCTCGGCTGTAATCGATGCCCTTGTATCCTTACATAGTCTGTGGCACCAATCTGAAGAGGTGGCTATTGAAAGCAGCAAAGTTTAAACTTCCCACCATGAAACAAAGGACCCTACATATCGCGCTTAGCCATCTCAGTTTCTTGCCTCGAGGCCGATCTTTCCATAACGGCCGAACGGAAATTGTTCTTTAGAAACTTCATCATGCTCAGACAGGGTTAGAATTCCCACGCCGAACAGAACTTCGCCGCTACCAGCAATGTCCGAATCGAGAAGGATGAGACATCTCTTATCTTTCCTGTGGTATTGCCCCAGTCATTCATGGGTCTTAGAGAAGTTCAGAGGCCTGCTTTCTTTTCTCTGGCAACTAATGGAGCATTGAGCTTATGAAATTAAGAAACTGTTCCTTGGATTCCCTATCGAGAGTAGATACTGATTCTCCAAGAGAAAGCTGCGGTACAACCACACCTCCACCACCTTTCCAGCGCCCTAAAATACCACAGGTTAGTTGCATGGTAAGATTATTTAGATCGTGTTACTGACCTTGCTCGTCAAAAACCTTCTTTGTAATCTCGCTTTTTTGCATGTACTCAAGGAGAGGCAAGCCAAGATATGCAACCATTTCAGCAATGTGGTGGGTTGCCAACGATTCCATGCTTTCATCAACCGCGTTGAACAAATGCCGATTCTCAAACAAATCCCAAATCTATCATTAAAATTAAGTAATAAGAAGGCGCATGACACAGACTTACTCACCAAAGTGGCAACGTTCCAAATATCAACACTCGAACTCCATTCTATATCAAACGATACCTCTGGAGCACGGTATAGCTCGGGTTGGATGAGACCTCTATGTGATCTCTCTATTCGAGCTTCTCCAAAGTCATAGAGGGCCGGTTGACCCCATAAGGAATTACTAGGTAGCCTGAGTTTCCGGGAGCCGTAGATGATGCGGGCATTGTCGATAACTTTTGTTAGCGATAATTCCTCTCTCTCAGCTCTTTCAAAATCGTTAAGGATAGATTTGTCCTCTACTGTCAACATGATGTTGGATGGGTTGATGCCTAACTTAGTTGTTAGCTAGGAATACACTATATTGTAAGATCACACTAGTATGCACCACATTAGCTTCATCATGCAAGAAGAAAAGAGCGTTGAGTAAGTTAAAGAGCGTCCACCTCAGGAGTAATTTATTTGGTCGATGCGATGAGTCTCTATATTGGAGCTCTCGAATAGCCATATGCATCGGAGGGTGAACTAGGCACAGGTGCTGACTGGTAGGACCAGTAATTTCAAATGTTCATAATAGTCCACGAATGAAGGATTGACCATGGTGCTGAGTGAACTAACGTGCTCGTAGAACTTGAGTTCTCTCTGGAAGCGTGCGGATCGATTAATATCCTGAGTGCAGATCTTAATCGCAACAAAGCCAGCGTCTCTATCTTTTGCATTAACTAGAACGACAACGGGTGCCAGAGATGATATACCTGATGCTTCGACAAAGCCAAACTGTAGGATACGCGCCGTACCCAAGTTTCCCAAACACTTTGTAGCTAGAGTCGAGAATCTCTCCAATGCGAACCGGATAGAATTGATCAGGACTGTACCAGGGGAGTCGCTCCTCTTCGAAAGGTTTGTCTAGGTCAATTTTGGTAGTACAGAAGTTCATCATCCATCTCGGCGCGAACTGTGATACTCTTCGAGGATGGACTCGACTGGAAAGTCTCGACATGTCGAAAGTGAGTTCAATTGGATTTATTCGGTTGGTGCTTCTTGTCAGGCAAAGCCTCTTAGAGATAACTACCCCCGACACCTAGCGCAAGTCCCTCACCAATGAGCTCCTTGAATCAATCGATTGCCAGTAATCAGTTATGGACTTAGTTATATTTTTTATTGTACAGGTGATTTTAACCTGCTAATAGAGTATTCATTATAATATAGTAGAGTATATAGAATTGAATCGTCTCCAGATAGCTAACACTGTAAGCCTTTAAAAAACATTGTACTACTTGGGTTTTAGTATCCTATATAACCCAAAAGCGGCTCAAAAATGGGTTCGTGAGCTCTAAAAACTAGCCTAGGAACTGGACAAAAAAACGGGCTCTAGAACGGGCTTATAGACTCTCAGAACTAGCCTAAAAAGCGTCGACGGGTGGGGGACTGCGCAGTTCGCCAGCAGGCCTGCCCGTGCTATCAGGCACCTCTACCATATCCTCGATCATCCCAAGAAACCTCTGCCTGTATTCATCACTCGAAGTAGTGATACTCATCGGGCCGTGATCCTTTCCAGGCTTCAGCGCATTGAAGAGCTTAACCAAGCCTGTCAGCGTCTGGGCTTGCAATGCGTCCTTGGCCCAGAAGAAGTCCAGGATAATAGCTCTGTAGATCCACTTCCCGTCTCGCGACACCACACCGCTACGCCATGACGACCCGTGTCCTGGCGGTGCCGGAATCTTACTGCTGTCAGCTGTGCTAACGTCTGTTGGATAGCGGACGAGGAACAGCGAGTAATCGACGGCGTTATTGTCTTGCAGGATTTTCGAGTCTCGCGAGAGTTGCGCGATCAGCTCCTCCTTCTGGTCAATCGTCACCCGGACCTTGTCGTTGAACTCGTCAATGAGGCGCGCCTTTACACTCTCTGGCGCCAATCTGCCGTCTGCTATATCGCGCTCAGGGTAGAAGTAGTCGTTTGGTTTGAGGTCATACGTCTCCCATCGCTTCTGTTGATCCTTGCTGCAAGTAGACTTTCCATACAGAATGTTCTCCATGATGATGTGATGGCTCGGCGCCGTACCGAGTGCGGCGCCGATGGTAGCCGTAGGGCAGTAGAGAAGATCGGTGATGCGAACCAGGAGAGAATCTTGATTGAGTTCCATGTGCTCGACATAGGGGTCGAGAAGGCGTTCGCGGAAGAACGACTGTTCAAAGTGCCGTGGAAGCGACTTGATCAAGTATTTGGAGTTTGGCGTCGTGAAAAACGTCTAAACCTATTAGCCAAGTCCGTCAAATATGGAGCTGGTGTTCACATACCGATCCTGAATAGCCCAGGTCACCGATTGCAACTAGATCAGTTCGCTTGCTACTGCTAGGGCTGCGGAAGCTCTCAATGTACCCCTCCTCTTCCATCCCCCACGTGTCATTCCTCAGTTTCTTGAACAGTGATGCCCGAAAGCGCGCTAGGGTAAGGTTGAAGAGGGTAAAAAAGGCATAGATGCGCGCGAATAGGCCGAGGCGCTCATTCTCGTCGTTCCTGGGAGAGTCGGTCTTGAAGATTGCGCGCAGAATAGAGTTGCTAATGAGACGATTACGGCGTCCCATTCTGAGCTATGCGTGGTATGTCAAGTGAGTGTTTGTCTGAGCTGAAAGGTTGCAGCGTTGTTGAGATGTGAAGCGCGTTCTGTAACCAAGAACGGCAATATGCCAGTGACGTCACCGCGCTAGAGACCAACCTCAAGCAGCCGGTCGGTGCGGGCATTTCTGTCGATGCACCAAACTTTCCCACTAGACAATGGGATTTCTTGGTACTGGTACATCGAAAAAAACGGGAGCGGATCTCCCCTAGGGCCGATCTCGGAACCGAGCTGCTGGGCGAGACGGTTGGTGAATCCATCTTCTACTGCAACTAACGCTTAGCTTCCAGAGGAGCGGTCGCGGTGCTATTATTATTTTCCGGGTTTCTCGCCTTATGGATGTGAAGAAGTCTCTGAGCAACCACTGGAACATTCGATAGGATGTACCAGTCTCTAGAGTAACCGGCTATCATGCTCGGCAGGGCTAATCAACATGACGTGTTAGAAGCTTAGCACGGCTTGGTTGTTTGGGAGCCACGGGTAGAAGTCACGTGCAGCTTGATCGGCAGCTCTATGCCGCTGCAGAGACAGAAAATATCAGCTTTTACATGACCGCTGTCTTTCATTGTATACTCTACTGCGTTATGAAATCTAATGCATAAGCACGTTAAATTGCCTGTTTTAAACACTTCACATAAGCCCAACATATGCGAGGAAACCACAAAGCTCTTCTAATAAATTTAAGACTTTATTTCAAATAACTTCAAGGTCATGCAGGGTTAAGATTATGGAAATAGTTTCCTGTCGATGTATTATAGAGAGATATGGTGTCCGGTAAACGCTGCACTGAATCAGTCATGTGGAAAAGTGTCTAAGACATTGGTAGCACTCCATTATCAGAAAAAGGGCAGTGTTACATGCGGAGAACTATGTGAACACTGTATCCCAACAAAACAGAAAGCTAATATTCAGACTGTTTTTTGCTAGTGGCAAACGAAGAGTCCCGCAGATTGCAGCGCCGACTAGCGAAAAGCTAGGGAGCAGCAAAAGCATCAATCTTAGTACACATCTACATGCTGATCTCTACTCCTATCATCCTCCGCAGCTCTTCGTGCTGAATCATATGGCGCAAATAGCCCTAAAGTGGAAGCGCACGACTTTCGCTGTTATGGATTGCAATCTTGTTAGCATGACGAAATATCTGGTCCAAGCCTCAACCACATAATAGATCTTGAACCTAGAGTTTTTCGAGAAGCAAATCCATATCTTGCATCTTTCGAGATTTGCCTCAATCCATTATCATTTTTCACACCTTATTGCAGCTTTGGCTGTATATTAGAATCAATCACGCGCTGTTGCTTGGTCACGTGTCTCGCGTAGGCGCATGAATTATAATCGAAAATTCACGCTGATCAGCTAGATAGATATTATGAATTACATGATAAACGCTAGAACAGTCGGTATAGCTAGAGCAGCGTAGTAACAGCTAGAATAGCTAGAACAGCCAGAAACACCCGAGTATCGTAATAGGGTAATAGTATATCAGCTAGAATTCTACCCCTTTTCAGCACCGCAACAGGCCGCAGGAATATCTATATCGTTTCACCCTAGCTCGCTGCTCGAACTGCACCAGGCCAGAGTTTGAGGACCAAAAAAGACAGACTTTCAATTACAGCAAGGAGGCAAAGCCACAACTGAGCCTATAAAAAAGAAAACTAGCTACATAGTTTGACGCCCTTGACTTGAAGAGTCTCGGTTGATGTAGAACAAGTGACTTTTAATTTTAAAAGCTGCGTAGCCAGAATGTGCCCACGAGGGAGATCTATACACATCTCGACACGAGCCAGGCTGAAAGAATACTTGGCTATATCTAAAGCAGAGTTGTAAGAAGCTAAAGTCTTAGAAATCTGCCCACATTCAATCACGCATCCATCCATCCATCTACTATAACCCAACATGCGCCATGCATACTGGCGAGTACATCGTAACCGACTTAATACATGTCTATAACATCCACATGCGCTCTTTACAGGCTGAGAGAGTGTGTGTGGGTGTAGCTGACTGGGGAATGCTTCGAAACATAGTTTATATACATAAAGTGTGGTAATTCTGCTCTGCGACATGGGTATGTATCACACAAACAGCAGCAGCTGACATTACCTCTTCTTCTTAGACACAATACATACACACAAATCCTTGTTTTATAATAAAAAGACATCTTAGCATAACCCTCTCTCGCTCTCGCTCTCTCTCTCTCTCCCTCTCGCCATCCTAACCCTTTCATTTCTCCGTTTTCTCCTGAAAAAGAAAAAAAAACACACAGCATAATACATCTGCTACATGTATGATTTCCAGGATACCCAACTTGCGCAAGCGGGCCGCGCCTCTATCAGCCCGGACTACGTACCTCGCGAAATCCGCGATGCAGTGCTGGGCGACAAGGAGACTGCCAAGTGGCGATAAGTATGGACGCGCGCCCCCAAGTATGACTCTAAAACACGGCGGGTCGTGTGCTGGCAGTCAGTCCACCACTATTCATCCATAGCATCCCATCCATGCGTAAGTAATCGCGCAAGTAAAATACCAAGGACTCGCCCCGCATGACCAGCAAAAAGCAAATGACGCACACAACCCTCATTCAAGCTTTTACATCCCAGACTGATCGTACCATGGACACTGCCAAAACTATGTACCTAACTCGTTCACTACCTCATTCGCTATCAACGGCAGCGCACCGCAGGCCGGCCGCGCACAAGCTCAAAGTAGATGGATTCAACAACGTGATTCATCCCGGCCTAATGAGTACTATACTCACCCGTTTTATTCAGAATTCTCTCAAGTCGCACAAGATTGTTCAAATACGTGATGTAATGTCTCATGTTTGCGTGCGCGGTGCTCGAGATGTATAGTGGGTTACTGACGCTGATTTTCCGCGTGGCGCCACTGGGGCGAGATGAAGAGCGAGTATGTGTGTGTGTGGGGGGGGGTTTGTGGTAAGGGCGAGAAAGTACTGGAGAGAGCGCATGGAGGCGTGATTAGTATCTAGGGCGTTACGGTGGCGAGGATTAATGTGAAGATGAAGCTGCATGCTGTTCGCACGTGGTTCGACTTCTTGGATATGTTTTGCTGGATTGTGACGGATGGCGTGGTGAAGAAGGAGGATGTGTACGGGAATATGGAGCTAGATGAGGCGCTGGATGAGGATCAGAAGCATGTCAAGGAACTGTCAGATGGCAGTGTGCAGAGTCGAGAGTAGACGAGTGGGGATATGGATGGATTATTCAGGAACTCCAAGTTGAGCAGTACATGTTCACAGATGAGTACATGACAGATGAGTAAGTCTTCATAATGCTCATAGTCAAATATACTTTCAAGTACGCTTTTTCGCTATAGAGGCTTACTGTTATGATTATGCGCATGTCTGCTCGAGATATTAGTGATCATGACATGTGAAAGATGGACATGCATCCAACCATGATTTCTTCTCATGTGAATACGTTTTCACACCTATTGCTCCATAGGTTCTTCAGTAAAGAAAGACTTTTGCATGTCACTGCAAGACGAATCATCACTCAGCTAGTCTGCAAAGGCAAAGTCACGAGCACACACCCTAGCCCCCATTTGCACATTCCATCATGTGATGCATCAACAAATGACGGGAGGCAAAAAGTAACCCAATGATTACAAAGACCCCCTTTTTCGCCTCCAGGAGCCCCTCGCGCCTCCAAACTCAGGGGCTAGGGTGGCTGGTGGTTTCTCACACAGCGCCAATCAAACGTCTCGCGTGCCGTGGTGGTGACGCGGGTGGTGTACTGCTGCCTTGAAGGCAAATGAAATCATGGTACCATGTTAATGTCCTTATTTTGGCCACGTCCATGCTTTGTGGATGGCATGGGCGTTGTACACCAGTGGCCACTATCGTCAGGTCTTGAGGATGACCAGCACAAAGGCCGGCTGTGTGTGCGCGCCCGTGTGTGGAGCCGTGTGTCATCTACTGTATGAGTGTACGGACGTCCGGCTCGACTGGGACAACGCAACAACGGCGGCGGCGGACACCAGGCTGGGCGACGGGTCACGTTGTCGGACATGGATTTGAATTTTTTTTGTCGGGCATGGCTGGATTGGGCGTTTTCAGCGGATGCATGCACAGGAGTTCAGGTTGGTGGAGAAAGGATTCGGTGATGACAGACAGCCTTGGGAGTTGGGTATCGGGGCGTTGCTCCGTGCAACTAGTCCAACGGACTTGGCACCGTGTATTTGTTCGGTTGTGGAGAGACCAGTGTACACCTAGGCAGCAGTGAGTCATACGGTGATTGCCCAGCCCATCAGCATCGTCATGGATCAGCATGGCGACACCAGTGGCACGGCAATTTTTAGCCTTTGATGTTGTGCCGACGTGTGATAGGGAAGGCTGGAAATAAGGCCAGTCATGGAGGTGGTCACACAGGCACACAGAGCGAGGCACACGGGAGCGCAAATTTCCCTGGCGTGGTTCGAGGCGCGGCGGTTGAAGAAAGAAGGTGATGGTGGTGGTGTGGCGGGCCAGGATGCCATGTCTCTTCTGCCTGCGATGGCGATGGCAATGGAACGGCGATGGCGATGGCGATGCTGGCTGGGGCTGGGGCTGGGGCTGGGAGGGGGGAGGGGGGGAAGGGGTGGCTCGACGGCAGATGGAGCGTGTGGTTTGGTTGGTTTGGCCATGCCCAGAGAGAGGGCTGAGCACGCAGAGGCCAGGCAGGCGGCAGGCGCAAACACTGGCCGGAACAAGTCGGCTTCCGAGCGAGGAGTGGGGCGCGGCGCATGAGTGGCCAGGTTGCATGCGGCGTCTTGGCGCTTCTGGAAGCAGGCGGGCAGTGAGCGAGCAGGGAAGGCGTTCGGCGCTCAGCGAGTTTGGCAGTGGCAGCGGCAGCGGCAGCGGCAGCGTCATGCTCGATGATGAGATGATGAGATGATGAGATGACGAGTGTGCCGAGGGGTGCGGTGCGTCAATAACACGAGACAGGCCTTGGTGTCGGGGTTGGGCAGGCGGTCGGCGCAATGGCGACCCACGACGACGACGACCTGGCTGCGGTGAGAGGGCGCGAGGGCGGAGAGGTGGGGGGGGGGGAAGGGTCCCATCGCATAGCACACCAGGAAGGCGCGATGTGTTGTCAGTAGTTCATTGCAGCTTCCGGCAGTTTGCGTCATGGGGGGAAGGTGCGCCTACCTGGCTGCCTGCCTGCCTTTCTCCATGCAGCTGCAGAGAGCCCAAGCCCGCCGCCCGCCGCCCGCCCATCCGCGCCCCGGCACGCGACTGTCATGCGGCATTACGCGCGGAGGCAGCGCGAAAGTGCACCGTCGTCATCAATAATAGCAGCTGTGCAGCAGGCGCATGGAAGAGGAAATGGGTCGTCGCATGTTGAGATTACGAGCGTCGCAGCAGCCCTCGAGGGTCGGCCCTACCAGCAGCCCTTGCAAGCACGGGGAAGGCGCAAAATGCCTCTTGGGGCAGTAGCGCGGCGAGGCGTGGCCAATGGCAGCCGGGCCAAAGCAGCAGACGCGTCGCTAGCAGCCCAGCCGGCCGGTCCCCTCATCTCTCAACGCAGCTGAAGGGGAGCGAGGAGCGTGTCACGTCAGAAACCGCCGTCGTGCGCCGTCATGGCACGGAGCCTTTTGACAGCCAGCAAACGCGCCCAGGAGCCGTCAAAGGGGCCTCGGTGCGTGTATGTATGTGTATGCGGGCGGGTGGTGGTGTCGCAGCAGCCCGTCCCCTTCCCTTCTGGCGCGTCGCCGTCGCCGTCGCCGTCGCCCGCCCGCCTGCGCCTGCGCCTGCGCCTGGAACCGCGCAGGGAGTGGGCGGCGGTAAAAGACCAACTGGAACCTGCTGCGCCCGCCATGGCGGCAGGCAGGCAAGCAAGCAGCCAGCCAGCCAGCCAGCCAGCCAGCCAGCCAGGCCATGCAAACGGCTCGTCTCACCCTCGAACCAACCAGGCCAAGGCCCTCTCTGCCACCATCCATCTCAACGAGCGCCTTGCTGCTGCTGCTGCTGCCCGTGACGACGCAAAAAAAAAAGGCTCTGTCCGGCGCCCACACCGCGCCCATCGGTGGCGGCCGCGCACGTGGGAACAGCAGCGTGAGGCAAAAATAGGGCAGCAGGACACGACGAAGAAAAAAAAAACAGCGCCAGTGCGATGAGTCTTGCCCAGGTCGCGCTGTGTGTGGTGTGTGTGGGAGCGTGGGTGTGTGTGTGGCAAAGAGGCAAGCTGGCCAAAGCGCCCTCGCCTGGCTGCGATGACTGGTGCTGGGCCGGGGCCCGGCGGTGGAGGGCGACGGGGTTCCTATTAGTATCGCCAGTGCCGCCCAGCCCGTCTCCCTCATCAAGACAGCAGCAGCAATGGACTTCACGACTCCCTACAGCGCGCCCTGGGGCCTGATCTAGGACACCCACCCATCCCTCGTGTCGTCTGCTCGCTGTCGCCTACCTCCGCCCACCCAGCCCCAAACCACGCCCGACCCGCCTTTGTCCAGGTAGCAGTCGCCGCACGACCTGTGTCGCCGCCACACTGCCGCCTACCGCATAGACTCATCGCTCGTCTCTAGTCAGACATCCGACGAGAGATAAGGCCGAGAGCCTCCCTGCTACATTCTCTCGCGCCCTGCCTGTACCTGCGTCGCGACAAACTCCCCACACGGCCGACGACGCTCCTTCTCCTCCTCCACCAGCCGCCGCCGCTGCTCGCGCCTGCCTGCCTACCTTTACCGACTCTCCGACCGCCACTTCCTCCCACGTCAGACCTCTCCCTCCCTCGGCCCACACCCACCCACCAGCCCTTTCCATGTACACCACCCAATAGTAATACCCAAACACTCACACTCACACTCACAACACACTCACACACGCACACATCCACATCCACCCACGCTCACAAACACACTTGCACAAACAGCCTCCCCCAACCCCCGCCACCCTACCGCTGCTGCCATCCCGCACAGCCGCAGTCCGCCTGGTGCTACCGCTGCAAAAGGTAGTCACCATCCGCAAACGCCTCCCCCATCGCGCTCCAGAACCAACATGTACCCTTCGGCCTACATTGCTTCAGTCATTCGTCGCTCGGAATTCACCTTTACTATCGGAAACAAGGCCTTCATCGGAGGCTTCGCCTGCTAGACGCTCCCCCGCATCCCCCTCAGACTTTCAGCTTTTGCGACAGCCCCCTCCCCACGCGCTGTTCAGTAGCTGCTACATCCGAGTACTTTGCGGACAGTCTCTCACAAACGGTCTTGTTTCGGTGATTCTGCAGTAGACGGTGACTGGAGTCCGCTCTAGTACACGCTCCCGGCAGCCCTTCGACCACTTGACACTGTTCGAATCCGACTGCCACTTGCGCCCTCGTCAAAAACACCCTTGATCTTCTTTCGTATATCAAGCTCCAAATCTACTCGGCCTTGTCACGCCACGATTACATACGCAATCAGGCCATTGGACCAACGAGATTTTCGGCCTCCGCCAACAAGACTTCAACAAAGCCTGTATACGTCAGGAGTCATAGGGTCGCCCTCTACGGTTTGCCCCAACGGTTCACTCCTTGGTCACCCCACGACCACCCCATACCCCCCCCCATCACGCTCTGCATCACATCTTTCAGGTCTACCTAACGGTCAGTACTAACCGACGAGGCAATCGACGAAGTTGACCTTGCGATCCGATTGCCGAACCAACTGGGGTGGGGGCCGTTGGTTGACAGCCGCCGACGACCGGCGGGGATTCTGACGCTGCTCCGGTGGTGCCAGGAACTCGGTACGTAGAGAAGGTAGCCTCTCCGGCACGGGCTCACGGCATACCGCAGGTTGATACTGGGGGTAAGTGCTGACTCGGCTAATGGGCTGGAAAGCAGCTAGGCTGGCAGCATCCATGGCAGACGCTTGGTTGCGACTCCACTCTTCTGAGTCCCAATTGGAATGAGACGATGTGGAGCTTGCGCTAGACGTCTGTGACGCAGCATCTGAGAAGACTGACGAAGTAGAAGAGGAGGCGGAAGAGGAAAGGGGAGCGGCGTATGGGTGTGTTTCGGGCAAGAAGCCGTAGTCGGGGCGGGGGATATCGAGACTCATGTTTAGGAAAAGGGGGGGGGGGTGTGGTACAGGACAAAGGCCTGGTGTAAAAGAAAAAACAAGACAAAGTAAAGAGTGAGCGGAGATGTGTGGATAGGCTTTGATCGTTACGTCTTCAAGTGCACACTTCTACCCTGGACCCCAAGGTTCCTCCGCTGATTTGTTCCCCGTTTGAAGATTCCGCTACTCAGATGGTTGAGGTGATCTGGCAGCTTTCTGAGCCCAAGAGCCGCTGTGAGAATGCTTCTGGGCGTGGAGTGCTTCCCCTCCGCATGTTTATCCAGGAGACGCTCCGCCGTTCGCGCACCAGCTACTCTACGCTACAGGTTGCTCTGTACTACTTGATCCTCATCAAGCCCCACCTGCCCAAGCATGACTTCACCATGTCGCAGCCCGAAGATGCTTCTCTTCGCGCGCTCCAGTGCGGTCGTCGCATGTTCCTTGCTGCGCTGATACTCGCCTCCAAGTATCTGCAGGACCGCAACTACTCGGCCCGCGCGTGGAGCAAGATCTCTGGGCTCAAGGTTTGCGAGATCAACACAAACGAGATGGCTTTCCTGGAAGCGGTCAACTGGAAGCTCCACATTGTCGATTCGGTGTGGGAGAAGTGGCAAGAGGTTGTTCTGCGACACACGCCCACTCTTCCCCCTCCATCACCCGGAGCCTCCATTCCCAACACCTGGAAAGACATCATTCCCTTGTTGACACCCGATTTGGATATCATCGAGCTGCCCTCCAAGTCTTCAAACGCTCCTGTTCGCCCGCCGCTGAGGACACAGCTGAGCGCATCGCCCTTCCGCTCGGCATCCATGGATGTGTGCAGATCGCAAGACAGCACGCCGACTCCGTCTCGCTATCAGGTGCCTCGCTTCTTGGAGCCAAAGCCAGATCTCCCCCACACGCCATCGCTGCCGTCCATGGCTCGCTTGGGTCCTCTGCCGACACCTTCGATGACACCGCAGCCCATTACCAACAGCACCCCCGTAGCCGGTGCCATGTCTTTTGGACTGCGCCGTCCGTCCATGTGCTCGGCCATGCAACAGGCGCAGTGCTCGTCATTGGCGCGCTCCTGCGTAGACCAGTTCAACCCAAGCATCAAGAATGGCCTGGAAGCTTACCACTTCCCGAGCCGACGACCCTCCTTGACCATGTCGAACTCGTCCCTCTCATCATCTCCGGAGTCTATGATCTCGGACAACTCGCGCTCTTCGCGTGCTTCGTCAATCTCGTCAGTTTCGTCTGTCAGCTGGGCGCCAAACCAAAGTCAGGCCAACTTGGCCCGACTGGCGACCTGCCGCAGTGCAAGGCTGCCGTACCCTACATTGTCAAAGTGCAAAGAACAGTACGAGTATGCTCCAAGCGAGGCCTTGTCCTCGCCTGATCTGGACAGCTTCCACATTGATGATTCGGATTCTTCGCCTGCCAAGGCTGCGAGCCCTGCCGTCGTCGCTCCTGCTAGTCGCAAGCGCGGAAGGTCGTCTGTCGATCTCCAGCAGAATGTCCGACACCTTCTCCACACCACCCGCTCTGCATTCGACCTTCGCCAAAGAACGGTCCTTCCTGACCGTTCCCTCTCACAGTCATTCGTGTTTGCTTCGCGCAGTGAACCAAAGGGGCTGCAGTCCCCTAAGAGCACTGTGCCTGGCTGCTCGCGTCTTCCGATCCAGAAGGACTTTGGCAAGAAAAGGTCATGCTGCAGTACCGAGGCCGCACAGGCCTATCGCCCGCAAGGCCCCGGCATGTGGGCTGGCATTCTATGAGCATGACACAGTCTATGAACACTAAAAGCCCAAGCAAGGGCTCGACGAAGAAAGGAAGAGACGAAACACCAACGTCTCTTATTGATTTGCCTTTCCAAAAACCCGACATCCACATCGTCACACATTCTCTCTACACGCCTGTGTATATTTCCTTCCCCTCCGAATCATCCTCTTGCGTACCTTGTCTTGGAGCGGCACCAAGAAGTGTCGTCCAACACATGTTTATTTGCCGCTATTTAGCTCGTGGTATACCTATTGGGTTTACTGATTGGCGTTTTTCTTTTTCCTTTCTATCTTACAAACCTTGGCGTTAACAATTGTCACTGGAAAACTTGCTCGGTTGAGCAACAGGTGGGAAATATCCTCGGTTAGCAGCAAAGGGTGCATTTAGCATGGTCAAACGGATTGCCGGACGGGAAGGAGTTGAAGTTCGCACATGTGCTAGAATACCCCTGGGTGCAATGTACGTTTACGCTGCGGCGACTAATGACGTACGGCGCGGTACGATGCGGTATTATACGCATGGCGCTCATCTAGTGAGTAGATTGTGATAGTTCAATCAGATGCTGATGATGCATGTTGTCTTGGTGTGAATATTGCGCTCTTTCTCTCTCTCTCTCTCTCACTCACTCCCTCCTCGTATCATTCACATGTTTCTCTCCCTCTCCACCACCCCTCCCCATCTCCCTTGCAATGGTAACGCTCTCCCGCAATGCCTTTCCCAACGCTCCCCTCACGCCCATCTCCTCCAACACCATGATCCCCCCAATCGTACACCCCTCAGGACTCGTCCCCATATCCCTCAACTGGCCCGGCTCCACACCCCCCGCCAGCATCTCCGCCGCGCCCCGCATACTCTGGTATATCTGCGCCTGCGCCAGCGCCCGCGGCAACCCCACTGCCACGGCTGCATCCACAAACGCATCTACAATCACAGCCCAGAACGCAGGCGTTGACCCGGCCACCGCCGTCGTGGCATCCATATGTCGCGGCTCCACTACCACGGCTTTGCCCACGTGATTGAACAGCGCAGTTGCGGTTTCGAGATGCGCCGCTGGGAAACTGCGGGTTGAATCTACGGGCGATTCGATGGCCGTGAGCGATTGGGATACGCTGGCGCAGACGTTGGGGAGGGTCCGCAGCATGTGGAGTTTTCGAGTCGTGTTGGCGTTGGCACGTGTAAGAGGAGGCGGAAGAAGAAGAGATTCCAAATATCTTGTTGAAACGCCTGCAACTATGCTGATGAGTAGTTTGCCGTCTTCTTCTTCTTCTTCTTCTTCTTCTTTTTCTCCTGTTTCGCCATCGCCATTACAGCCCCGCCGCTGATAAAACGCTTCTCGCACCCCGTCTCCCGCCAACGTCGCACACAGCTGCGCGGGATCCACAGCCAGCACAACGACGTGTGCATCGCGTATCGCAGCGCTATTGTTATTGCTGCGTTCTACGCGTAGGGTTCCGCTCGCTATGTGTGCGGCGAAGCGTTGCGCCAGTCGTGTTGCCGAGGCTGCCGAGGCTACGCATGCGATGTAGTGTGTGAAAGTGGCGCTGGGGCTGGTGGCGCCTGTGTTGAGCAGCGTGTGTAGGATGGATGTGCCTAGGTTGCCTTTTTTTTTCTTTTTTGTCAGTGGTGGCAAAGAGGGGGGGAAGGGGGGTTGTTAGTTGAGCGGGTTATGGTAGAGAGGAAGAGAGGGAGGAAGGGGGACATACCGCAGCCCAGCATGCAGAGGGTTCGTTGGACCATTGTAAGTAGTAAGAATATTCCGTTTTGACTCGGGGCCGTGTATCGTCGTGATAGTTTAGTTTTTTTCACACAAGGTAACTTTTCCAGATTCTTCCTATCCCACTTTCGATTTTCAATCTCGATGTGCCCTCGAGTAACTTGGCTCTGTTGGAGATAGATCTTTACTTCAAGTCCAATCGCAGTCTTGTTGGGCATGCAAGGCCAAGACAAGGGTACTTAAGTATCTGGTTCCCCACTTTAAGTACTACTTGGATCGAACACATGACGCGCGGGGCGAGCATATCAACACGAACGAGCGAGCGACGACGCAGCGTGGCATTCTGGTGGACTAGACCGAGAATAGCCGATGCGGTACCATAGCTTACTATATCATGCACATGAGCATTTGTCCAAGCTAGTCTTGTGGTTGTGGAAATGATCAAGTTAAAAAAAAAGGTGCTTCTGGCATGATACGGGATACGGCACACACTGTAAATTCCACAAGTCACATGTTAAAAAAAACACTCTATATCACTTTATTCCCACGACTATCATCCCCACAGAAACCGCCTTCTAACCTCCTTTCTCAATACCGCAAATTCGTCCTTGGTCCGAAGAACCGCATCGCGGTTTTCCACTGCGCGTCGAAGCAAATACCCCACGCACTCGCCCATGGAGCCCCAAGTCGTGCATTTGAACACCTCAGGCGGCATGCCGCCGGCGGTCCTTTGCGCAAGAAGCGAGAAACTGACTTCGTCAGACATGCCGTGCAGCTGGCCATATGCGACAGGTACGGTGAGGAGTCCGGCCTCTCGGCGCTGGCGGTGCAGAGCGCTAGCCGACAAGACGGAGTGGCGATTATGCGAGGCGAGGAGAAGGTTGAGCGAGGGAAACGGTCGGGAATCCGGGCCTGAGCCGCCAAAGACGCCGAGGTGCTGACGCAATGCTCCGTGGGCGATGCTGTTGTACGCGTTGTCCGTGTCCTCTTTGGTGTCGTGGATCAAGGCCCGGTCGTCGGATAATATGTAGGCTCCACGAACGAGCTTCAGGCCCAGTGTAAACCCGTGTTCCTCGGCCTCGGCCATGTGCTGCATGACGACTGCGGGCGTTTCTTTGAGGTACGCTTGGTACGTGTTGTAGATGATGGCTTTGCCGTTGCGATTGAACTTGCGCATGAGCTGGAGAGTTGTGCGTGCGATTCCCGTCTGCCAGTGCTGAGACTCGGCGTCGACGATGATCTGAACGCCGCGGTCTGAACACTTTTTTGCGATTTCATCCAGCGCCGAGAGCATTTGCTGGGGAGGCAATTGGCCTTTGCTGAAGGCTGCAGAGACGGCTGGGCCGCCGCCTGTTGTTCTAGTCCGAATTAGCACAGAACCTCAATTGAACACTCACGAACTTGCTTTATGGCCAAGATGTCGCCTTCAGAAATCAAGTCCAGCGTTCTTAGCGTCCCTACTCTCCACGCCTCAATATCCGCATCATGTGCCGATTCCGCCTTGTCGACAAATTTGTCCGACGTATAATGATTTGCTGACTTTGCCTTGTGATCAAAAACCATCTCTTTCGCATAAGTCAAAATGATGCCTTTGAAGCCCAGATCCTTGAGCTGCTTGACACAAGCTCGCGTCTCTTGCTCTGTCTCTCCGGCGCAAAACTGACTGTACAAAGTCCTCTTCAATATTGCTTTGAGAACAGGGTTCCGATCAACATTGAAAAGAAAGCTTCTGTTTGGTTTTGAGAGAAAGGATAGAAGTTGTAGTGATGGCACCAAGAGGAATTTGTTGGAGGATATGGTGGCAATGAGGAGGGAGCGGAGCAGTGTGTTTGTTGGCATTACTGATAGTGGATATTGAGATTGTTGCTGACATGATGTACTCGTGGCTGTCTCTTTTGTCCGGGGAAGGGTAGTTGTGGATATGAGCCGGAACGGATACGTATTGAAGCCATTGAGGCTCCTGCTGTATACGCATCGTGACCGTATCCCGCCGAATTGCGGTCGGAGCATGGTTGATCTACCGAGATTGTTAAAGAGTGACATACGTTACTAAATGTGCTATGACTGAAGAAAGCAGTTGAATAACCAGCACGTGGGTATATATGAAGACGGCTACTGAGCATCCCAAGTACCTGTCCTTATCTGATACTACTATCACCTACATCATGACCCCGCTTCATATCCGGACGTGGGGCTTCACCAGGCTCGTGACATGGCGTGTAGGACGGTGGCTCGGTCCTCCAACCAAGTTGCATTTCAAGTCGGTATCTGGTCCAGTCCACTACTGGCACATGGGGAAGCGGCCATACGGATGCTACAGGGCGAGACGATAAGCATGGTAGGCCTGAAGGATTGCATGTGCGTACCGAATCACGGTGCGACGTCTTCTAGATGCTGGCGAAAGCGGGGTCGTGATGAACGGCTTGAATAGGGTTATGCATATAAGATGTGGCCCCGCTAGATTGGCAGCAAAGGAGTTGAAGCCAGAATTTGGTCTCTGCGATGATTACGTTATACAATTGCTGCAAGTGCAAAGACTGGTAGATGAAATACGCAGCTTGTAGACTGCGCAAGAACCAGAAACAAGTAATACTCTCTTTGCGACTTACCACATCTCAATGCATGCATGAAGTATTGCTGTGATGCATATAGACTAGCTTATCGGCCAACCTAGGTACAGTGCACAGCTGTCGTCTTTTTATTGGACTGGCTAACTTGCTTTTTTATACGCGCCCAGTCGCGTTTATATGTCCATTCGCGTTGGTGTGTTTATTCGTGTTTGACATATTCACACTTGATAGTAGCAGGCGCTCACCATGGCCATGTCAAAAGACGGCATAGCTATTGCCGGCGGCGGAATGTTTGGCCTCTACAGCGCTCGAGCTCTTCACAAAGAGCTACACAGCATTGTCGTTTTGGACAAGGACGAGGGAATTCCGTCTGCATGGTCTGCCGAAACAAGCTGAGTAAGATTATGTGGGTCGAGTACAGAGACGAGTGTTTTAGCCATCTGGCTATCGTGGTGACGGCGGGCATTGGGACTCAAGTATCCGCCAGATCATGGCCTTTTGCACATAACCGTCTCACGGATGACGAGGTTGCAGCGCTCCGTGGTATTCCGGTAACATGTGCCCGTGATATGGGTTTCTTGTTCGGACCCGATTCAAGACCAAGCGCTGGCAGAAAAAGCACTTGCTGGATCGCGGATACTGCTGCTTGTCGACTACGCAGCGGACATGCCCTCTTGGTCATGGGTGTGTCTGGCAGCTCGGGGCCTGGTGAAAACGATGTCGTTGGTGGGACATGGGTGATCAACGTCGTAAGCTCGCCTGATGCAAACAAGGAATATTGGGGTGGCGCTGGCGGGGCCCGAGAAGGAAGAAAGAGGCGAGACGTCTGGCCGTGATATGAGCGGACGGATAGGCGAGCTCAGGGAGCTGCGCGGTGTACAGAGCGAGGAGACGAAGCCGTAACATGAGCATTGGCCGGGCATGGCACCGCAGCACCAATTCACACCCTGGACGGCATGAGGCTGGAGAGGTGGAGGAGCGGAGACGCAGCCGCAGGGCCAGAAAGGGCGAGGAGACGGCGCACGGGCCACAGGCGGCGAGAGACCCTGGGCCGAGCCGGCGCGGGCATGACGAAGCCGGAGAGCTGCTTGCTGGCGTCGACGAGCACACGGCGACATTGATACTCGCCCTTCTCCTCCCCCTCGTCCCCTCGCCCCCTCGCCCCTCGCCCCCTCGTCCCCCCCCCTCGACGGGCTCGCTGACTGCCGCCAGCCCATTGCCGCGCCGTGTCCAGGATCAATTCATCGCAGCCGCCATGCCGCTTGCCTGCCGCGCCCCATGAGCAGCCCGTCCGACTGCAGCTCCCTACCATGTCGGCGTCGAACATCCGGGTATTCGTACAATGGAAGGACTCGACCGTGTTTGCCGGCGAAGACATTGAGTGCACCATCACCTTCAAGAACGTCGCCGCGCCCGACGGCGCCCACAAGCAGAATGGCTTTGCGACGCCCAGCGAGCGCCAGCGCAAGCTGCCCCCCGTGCACTCGTCGACACGCCCGTCCGTCTCGCCCAAGTCTTCATTCACCTCGCAGCAGCCGCCCGCGCATGTCCACGGCCATCGCCCCGCCCTGTCGCTGTACACGCCCTCGACCGCCGGCGACCGCCCCTCGCCCGTCACGCCGGGCGCTCCCCCGGCCAACTCCAGCACCCGCGGCCAGAGCCACGGCAGGTCGCTCTCGATAATCTCGCTGGGCACCGAAGCCGCCACCGAGCCCGGCCATGACAGAGGAACCCCCGCCAGGCGCCCGGCACGAGGCCACGCCCGCTCGGCCAGTCTGCAGGTCGTGCCCGGCAGGCCAAACTCGTATCCAAGTACGCAGAGCGCACGCAGCGTGCTTCTTCCTGGGCTGACACGACTGCAGTTGCTTCCCCCGGCCACCGCTCAGCGACACACCCCTCGCCCCTCTCTGGCGGCGACACGGCCGACCTCGCCCTCATGACGCGCTCCAACAGGCGACGGCCGGGCGTCACCACCACGCCCAGCACCCCAGGCCCCCCGCTCACCGGCAGGAAGCCGTCCAACTCCTTCTCGCACAGCTTCAGATTCCCGGCCGCCCCGCCACCGCCGTTTGAAGACGCCTCGCAGCCACCGCCTAACACCAGCCCGTCCAGACAGCCACTACACACCCGCCGCAACTCGCCACAGCCGCCCCATGACACCCGCCGCCCGTCGTCATCCGCCAATCTCGAGGTGCTCTCGCCCGTAGCCAGGATCATATCGGGATCGAGCCTGAACGACACTCCGCGGAGCAGTGGAGAGTTCTACTCGATGAGCAACAACTCCAACGAGACAATGGCTTCCGAATACACGGCTCACCCCTCGGCGCGTCTCCTGAGCCGCCCGCAACACCAAAGACGGCCATCGCATCTGGTTCCGTCCACCAAGCAGGCCCAGCCCGAGTCCATCATGATGGGCTATGCGCAGATAATGGGCTCCTTTACCCTCGATGGCTCCTTGATCAATCAGGCGCCCTTTGAAGAAGTGAAGAGAAAGGGCGTAGTGGGTGGCCAGGGCGGAGGGGGTGTCGTGGGCCTCGAGAAGACGAAGCGCGAAAGCGGACTCTTTGGTGCACTGGGCTGGGGCAGCATAGGAGAGTCGCTGGGCGGACTGCTGGGCTCGGCAGAGCAGTCTAGTATCCGCGAGATGCGAGGCATTGCCAGCTCCAAGACGGTCCCTCTGATTTCCACTCCGCAGTCGATCCTGTTTGTCGACTTGAAACTGGCGCCTGGAGAAAGTCGCAGCTTCACATACAGCTTCACAATACCCCGCGGTCTGCCCCCGTCACACAAGGGCCGGTCGATGAAGGTAGCATACAATCTCACAATTGGCACGCAGCGCGCACGTTCGACCAAAGAGCAACAAGTGAAACATGTCGAGATTCCATTTCGTGTCTTTGGCAGCGTGAACAGTATGTTGATGTCTTTATTCATTCCGCAGCTGATGCCATGCTAATTCCCTCCCAGGCCGCGGCGAGATTCTGGGCCACGATCTGATGTCTCCATACGTTCTGCTTCGCGACCAAGCACGCACAGCAGCCATTGACCCCATATCCAGCCCCAAGCCTTCTCCAACAAAAAAGGGGGGCGCTCCAAAGAAGCTGCAAGAGGACACGTACAGCGACTTTCTCGAATACGTGGGCAAACTGCTAGACCGGCCTCGGGACGACTCCAACATAGGCTTGCTGTCACCCACGGATACCCTGCCCGGCCGATCTTCATTTGCTGAAGAACCCCAGACGATGAAGGAAACCATTGATACCGCCATTTTGCGCAGTAACCTGACTGGCGCGGCGAACCAGAGCGCCAACCGCTTTGAGATTGCTCGCAGCGGCCGACGGGTGGCCGTCATCATGCTCGCCCGGCCCTCTTATCGCCTAGGCGAAACCATGACTGCAGTCGTCGACTTTACAGACTCGCACATACCATGTTACTCGATCCACCTGTCGCTTGAGACGTCAGAAAAGGTGGATCCCGCCATAGCACTCCGTTCGAATGCCTCGATATATCGCGTTACCAAGAAGGTGCATGCCTCGTTTTCAGAAAACGCCCTGTTTGCCCAAAAGCTAGCCTTTTCCCCCACTATACCCCCCAATGCGACACCAGAGTTTATTACATCGGGTGTGAGTCTAGAGTGGAAACTCCGCATCGAGTTCATCACTCCACGGTTGATGCACGAGAACGGCGACGAGGCGACGTGGGATGATTTGTTAGAAGAGATATCCACAAACGAGCGGGGAACCATACTTGCTGCTGCTCAGCGATTACCGGCAGAGAGTTTTGAAGTCCAGGTTCCAATCCGCGTCTATGGGGCTGTCAGCGGAGCGCCAGAAGTACCTGATGAACAGGGCTATCCTGTATGAAATTAATAGGAGTTGAACCACTCGACATGTTGCTACGACACGAATAGAAGAAAATACAATTCTCCAACCATGTTTCTCTTCCATGTTTACCTTTTTATGAAAAATTTTATCGACTTGCAGCTGCCTTTGGGTGTGGTCGAGTTTTGATTTGTCGACTTCTCCCTACCCAACAACGCCCTTTTTGTAATTCTGCCGTCTTCATAGGTAGAACCAAGAAAGTCTCTGATCCAGTCTTTTGGATATTAGACATTCTCCCCCGACACCAACACATACACTCATACATATATACCCACTAGTATTTCCCTCCCTTCTTTTTTTCTCCACACACCAGAGTACATATACACACCTGATCCCCAGTCTACCTCTGCCATACCGAAAGAAAGACTCCCTTCTGTGAAACCAACACACACATACTAGACTCGACACTCAACTTACGACACGCGACAAAATGGATATCTGCTACACCATCCACAATGCTATTTACAACCCCCCGCCCCTCGTCAACGACATGTGGGATGCAGTGTCGAATATCGGGGCGCAGGCAGCTAGTCTGAGCGTTAGACTGAGTATAGAGAGCTATGCGTCGGATATGTATGTTTGTTCATCTGGTCCCCTCCCCCCTCCCTATCCTTTCCCTTTCTCCTTGCCTTGCCCTGCCTTACCTCGCCTTTCACATTACCAACGCTCAACAAATGCAGGCCAACCTGGGATACTCTGGGCACCACTACCGCCATGACAACCACGCACGCACTCACAACCACAACTCCAAGCGCAACAATGGCCACAACCATAACAGCAACTACAACCATAATCACAACCGCCGCTACAGCCACAGCCACAGCAATCCTGCACACGTACCGCGTGCTCAGCGACGCAGGGTCAGAGAATCAGAATGTGCGGTTTAGTCTGGACTCGAGCAATACCACCAGCAGTACTACTACGCCTACTCCGATTACCTTGATGCTCATGCCTGCTACTGGTATTACCACTGCTCCACGCGCCACAGGCACGTTTGCCAAACTGCTCATCGCAGCGGGGCTTTTGTGTTTTTACCGCAGAGAACTGGGAATCGTGGTCAGGGGCGTGGTGGCGGGGATGCGTGTGGTGAGGGAGAAGAATAGGACGAGTGCGGGTGATGAAGAACAGGAGCAGGAGCAGGAGCAGGAGGAGGCGGAGTGGCAGGACTGCGAGGACTGGGATGCCGGCGTACAAGAGCAACAACAGATGGAAGTGGAGCAGGAAGAGGAGGAGAAATTCACGGACTATGAGCCAGACGAAGAAGAAGAAGAAGAAGAAGAAGAAGAAGAAGAACAAGTCCCAGATGACGACGAATACGCCCATCACACCACCACCACCATCAACGAAGAAACCTTCCGAGAACAAGAGCAGCAAATCAACGGCATCATGCTGCTCCTGCAAAAGAAACTCAGCAACAGGACTAAGAAATGCACAACGTCGTCGTCGTAAACATCACAGCACTACTAGTTCAGTCCAGTTTAGTCCTTCTTCTTCTTCATCACCACCATTACCATTACCGTCATCTTCTTCGTCTTCGTCTTCGTCTTTGTCCTAGCTAGTTAGTTGGTTAGTTGGGTTAGCTACCACGAGTCGTCTACACACCCAAAAAACAAAAATCAGGAAAAATTAGGAAAAATATATATATATATATATGTTTGTGTAATACATAACATATACATACTCTAAATACTAAGTCTAATAAGATCTTTCTCTCTCTCTCTCTCTCTCTCTCTCTCTCTGCGCTGTATATACACTATGCGTAAGACCATGTACGTGTTGCGAGAAACCCCCCCCCCCCAAAAACAAACGCCAAATAAGTCAGGGGTACTGTACGGCTGTCATGTGAGCATACATAGCCAGGATACATACACACAAATACACACAAATAACATACATACCCATACATCCCCCTGTCAAGTGTATAGGTAAGGATATGTGTGGCTGTGTGTGGCCGTGTGTGTGTGTGTAAAGTACTTAAAAGTACCGTCATACCAGGGGTTCTATCGAGAAACCACCCCTCCGGAAATTACAAAGGCTAGGCTTACTATAGAGGGAGGGCCAAGCAAACCCAGACCGTTGAGGTGAGTTGAGGTGAGTTGAGTAGAGCCGCGTTGCAACCACCACTTTTACAATTACACTTACCAATTATCTAATGTGAAACAAAATTTCAACTAGAAGGAGGGTGTAGCTTGCTTTTTTTTTAAGATTATGCGTCTTTTTTTCTCATGGTAGAAATTACATAAACTGTTCGTTTGAGGTGCCATGTGGTCGTGCTGATGCGCTTAATCTTACGAGGAAGGGGAGAGGAACCGGGGGGGGGGGGGCTGAGACATGGTAGGGCTAGAAGAGACTTCGGCTTTAATCTGGCGATACCAGTGGCTTGGTTTCGAGTTGTTTTGGATAGAGTGCTCGTGATTTGGTGCCTGAGGGTTAGAGCTTACGCCGGGCTCTCGGACAAAAGTCGACCTGGGCTAGATAAGTAAGCGATTTCTTCTAGGGTGGCAGATTAGACACTAGGCCAACGTCTAGGATCATCCAGGCTCTTATGCCAATCTTTGCATTCGGATACTCGACCTTCGGTAAGTTTCAACACTGCAGTAGACAAGCAACATGGCTTAGGTATTCCCTCATATTGATACTATTACTCGTCATTCTGGAAAGCATACTCGGTGTAATTGCAATCCCATCGCTATAATGTGTTCCTCGCAGTCAATATCATAAGTCTTCAATCTTGTCGTTCGTAATTCACCACCCCTCGCCATCCATACGCTTACAGGCCACCAGGCCCTGCAGCTGAGTGTGCGCTAGCACCGACGCCGGGGCCAATGGACGCATGTGTGGCTTCGCGGTGAGCCCTTTCGCGTTGCTCGCGCTCCCTGGTCTCTGCTTCGATTTGGTCTTCGGTCTTCTTGTTGCCACGGGCAATGAGCTTCTCAATCAGACCACCCTTCCTTGGTGCATCGTGCTTGTCTGACTCTTCGAATTCCTTGAGGTAAGCAATGCGCTCTTGAGGAGGCATCGCTGCGAGTTCAGAGTCGATCGAGTCACGGTTCTCTGACTGTGGGTTAGTAGTGAGGTTGGAGGTTTGAGGCTAGAGCATCCCGTGGGTGGTGTGGCGCATGCATCTGTACCAGCGAAAGAGACGGTGGGCGATAGTACGGAATTCAGAATCTTGACATACCCTCAATAGTCCCAACATTACTGGAGCCAGCGGCAATATCGTCCTCGGCCTGCGACCGGCGGCGGTTGCTGCCAATGTGGAGCTTCTCCTTGATCTTTTCCATTGTCAATTGATCGGTGTAGGTGAGAAATTCAGGTGTATTTGCTGCAGGGCTGTATGATCGACGTAAAGGTGTATAGTGAGTAGAAGTTAGGTGTTTGGTGTGTTGTCTAGGACCAGGAGGCGCGGGGATGAGGGGGTAGCTTCCAGCCATGCGTATCACCTACGTCATAGGCTCAGGCAGTCCAACTGCCAGCTGCCTTGTTGTAAGTGGAGCCAATGGAGCACGGGTCATGGTTTCGCTTACGAATGACCTCAAGGAGCGCTCCTGCTTCGGGGGTGGCTGGACATTCATGCTTCTCGTTGGGTGTGGTCGTGGGGTTGCATCCAGCAAACATGGAGGTGTGGTTCACACTCACGTGCACGAGCATCCGCAACCTGCATGCGCTCAGCATCTACATGCAGTCGCGACATCGGCTCCTCTCCTGTTCTCTGGTTTCTGGGTGAGATGACGTACGTTGTGGTTGTGTCCAAGCGATGGAGGCTGTGAAAAAGACTGGAGCATCTCGGTACGCGGCACGGTTAGAGCAAGCCTAGCACAGCGACATGCACATGTAGACAAAAATAGCCGCATTGACAGGTTGGTACCAGAGGAGCTCCACAACAACCACTACACCAACCAGACGCTTCGGCAAGGCGTATCCATGGCCAAACACGTGTTTGGTGTCTGCAGTTTGCATCTCTTGTTCGCAATGCGAGGCACAGCGCATGAGCTGTGTCAGCTGGGTACAACCCGGTAAGTACAAGCTCCCTGTCTATGTCCACCAACTGGAACCAACGAACCTGAAGAGCCCAACACTATGGGTATTTTCAAGGCAAACAGAAGAAGAAACCCCCAAGAATTTGAGTGCACAAACAGGGCGTGAGTGAGCATAGAGAGATTTGTATGATGATTCAAAATAGTCTGCATATACGAGGATACTAGCAGCTGATTCGGCAACCAAGCCACTTTGCCGCTTCAAGCCTACAAATAATAGGATATTACCTAGCTTCGTAACATACGCATAAAACCCCCTCTCCTCCTTTTGTATGTATGTATGTATGTATGTATGTATGTATGTGTGTATGTGTGTGTGGTATCTAAAGAAAACAACAGATTGCCCAAACCCCCAGTTAGATGCATAGAGACAAACTCGACTGGCCCAATTATCAATGCGTAAAAAAAAATCAGGACCTGAAATGAGGAGCGCGTGGTGTAAGTGGTGAAACAGCAGCCTGGTTTAAACCGCTTTCGCCAGTCGCATAACTGTCTTCACTAAGCATCGTGCTCACCACTTGGCTGCTATTACTTTCCATGTCGACGTCGCGATGGTAAGGATTAGGCACTTCACTCCACCGTGGTGTTACTGGTATTATCGAGTCACCATGTAGCTCTTGGGGTTCGTCTGTTACACTGATGGCCACCTTGTGATCTTGCGGGTACCCGTGTCCGGCCACATGGGCATTGGCAGGAGATGCGAGCTCAGTTAGCGGTGTGCCACTGAGTTCTTGTGGAGCGGGAGCTTTGAGTGGTAGGCGATTCAGAGAAGTCAGGTCCTGCCTCGAATCTGCCTCGGAGATGTTTTTGCCGCCCAGTTCATAATGCTGGTGCTGTTGCTGCTTGGCTCCGCGTCGTTTACGGACAAGAAAGAATGCAACGATAGCGACGACGATAACGGCAACAGCGCCAACTGCTATTCCAACTATCGCACCAGTACCGAGGTCAGATGATGATGATGACGAGGAATCAGCCTGTTTTGGCGGTGAGTCGCTTGGCGAAACAATTGTGATGACTTGAGCCGGAGGTAGCGGATCGGGAAAGACGGCTTGGGCAACGGTAAAGTTTGCCCGCTCATAGTCGACTATCAAATATGCTTCCTGCAGCAGGGTTCGGCCGAGTGCGTATTGCGAATCATTGGCAGCGCGGCGGATGGGAAAATAGTTTGTACTAGTATTGTAGAAAGGATACGAGGCCTGCAGGTCGAGTGCGGCATACGGCAACTCAATGTTGGTGTAGTTGGTGGTGACACCGCTAAGCGAGTTGGCGAGCTTGATAGTCAGCGTGGGATTGTTGGAGAGGAGCCGTTTGTGGACCGTATCGTTGACGAGGTAAAGCTCGGTTCGCGGGTCATATGTCAGGCCGTAGGCGATTTCGAATTGATCGCAGACATTTCTGGGCAGCCACAAATGAGGGACAGTCGAATCGATGACGGAAAAGTGGGAGCCCGAAGTGAGAGAATAGGTGCCTTGCAGGGTGTCGGTCGCCATGATGGAGGAAACGGCCACGGTCAGAAGCCGCGACGAGTCCTGGGAAAAGGTAAAGGAAAAGTTGCTGGCAGGGGGCTTGAATCGCGTGGCATCGTAGCCTCCGAGGATCAGGCTTCCCAGGACAGACTTGAGCCGGTACTTTGCGCCTGCCGTGTACGCGTAGGAGAAGCTGGGTATCTTGTTGTCCTGGCGCAGCGTGTAGAGCATGGGCTCGGCGGGCTGGCTCGCACTGTTGAAGCTGGACTTGACCTGGCCCAGACCAAGCATTCCCAGGTAGAAGTTGGGGTCGGCGATGGCAGCCACTATCGAGTTTGACAAGGACAGAGACGTGCTGCGATCCGCGGTAGCACCCAGCGACACGACATCAGTGCCGAAGAGGCCTCGTGCCGTGTAGTTGAGGGCCTGCTCCAAGTCGACGTCGTACTGGCCGATGGCCGACCATGTCGTCGACGCGTTGGCCTGGAAGCCCGTGTTCTGCACGCTGTTGAAGATGTCGATTCCGCGCAGCTGGGGGCAGTCGGACGGGTCGACGCCCTGCAGGCAGCCCTCTGGAGCAATGACATAGGTGACGCCGGCCTTTGTGCTCGGTAGCACGCGGAAGTCCTGGCCCGGCGAGCCTACGCTGAGCTTGAAGGTGCTCCAGGTGCCGTCATTGCCATCGAATTTGCCCGAGGGCGGAACAGAGTAGGGCTTGGGCGCGGCGGAAGGCGCAGCAGCCCGCACAGCGAGGCCCATGGTATGGTGTAGCGAGCGGATGTTGGAGGGTGAAAGGGCGGAAGCCCATGCGGGAGCGAAGAGCAGAGGACGGTGGGGGGGCGTCGGCTAGGCCATGGGGTGCGGTGCTGGGAACATGGCGGCGCGCGTGGCCGGAGAATGCTGTCACTATCTGTCGGTCGTCGTCAACTACCGGCTTGCGGGCGCCGCAGAGGGAGTGGCCAAAGTTTGTTGGAGCTCGCCGGCCGTGTGCCATGCCACGGCCCACGGACTATTAGGGATGGGCTTAGCTCTGGCGCCCGTCTTCTGGGGGAGGCGATCATCAGCCGGCACAGCATGATTGCGGCATGGGCTAGCGTGCATATCCGGGCTGAATACGAGCGACTCGGTGGTGGTGCGGTGCATGGAGCAACGAGCATGGGGGAGCGTGTTGAGGATGGGCGGACGGGCGCGGGCGGGGCCCAATGGCAGCAGGTTGGGCCTGAGGTGCTGTCAGCGTCTCACTTATCTGGCACGCCAACTGCCTGCCCATCGACACATCCAATATTACTCCTCCCATACTACCTTGACCTTGACACAGGCTCGACGCCCTGATCATCTCCCCCCCCCCTCGTCAGCATGCACGATGCCAACGGGCGCCACCTGGCAATCCCGCACGCCACTCGACGCTCGCCTGGACCTCCGAACATGCGACGAGCGCTGCCGTCTTGGGCGTCCATGTGCTCGCGCGCTCTACACGCTTGCTGAGCAACGGGCGGCGGTTGCAGTATTACAACATGGGCGCCGGCATGGCCTGCGACTGCAACTGCAACTGCATATCCCTTCTCCACTCTGCGACTGCTGCTCTCCGCTGGCGTCCGAATGCGGCCACTCGGTCAGCCCCCCTAAGGTTCGCTGATTCAGACGCGTCGGTCGTCGTGGCCATCATGTCCCTCTGCCCAGCCTTGCGCATCGCCCACGCCGTTGCACCTCCGCCACGGCAGCCCGGCCGCGTCACGTGCGCGCGCACCGCAGCACCGCAGCACCGCCAGAGCAGGGCGTCGGCGGCGGCGGCGGCGGGCTGGGCTGCAGAGTTTGAGCGGTGGCGGGCTGCATCGTGGCCGACCAGTCGACGGGCGGCGCAAACGCGTGGGCGTAAGCGGCGGCGCAGGGAGGCTTGGTTAGGGTTCAAGCATGCCCTGGCCGCCATACGCGTCCAATGCTCTGTGCTGCCAAGCGAGGCTTCCGCTAGGGGGGGCATGTGCATAGGCCGTCCATGATTCATAGCGGCTGGCAATGCGCTTCTACGACTGCCATGATCCAAGGCCGACCGCACCACGGCCAACACTCGCTTTTTTTCTGTGCGTTTCGCCCTCGCCGCTCCTGGACTGCATCGTCGTGCTTGTCCTTTGCGCCGTCGCTCGTTTTTCCTCGAGGGCGCCCGTAGCAAGATGCGCACGCAAGCCCGTCTGTACCTGTCCGCCCTGCTCGCTGCCGGCTGCAACGCCGCCGCTCGTCCACAAAAGGGTACGTTGTCTCTGCATGGCCTTGGTTTCGACCCCCACTAATGACCCACAGAGGGTATGTCGCCTGTGCCTGTGTCCCTTTGCGTAGACAGCAGAACCATTGACTAGCCTAGCTTCTCCTCCACGTGCCATAGTGCCCGTCGACTGGGCCCAGCCCGCACTGCCTGCAAATGTACCAAACGCTCCAAACGCTCCAAATGCATCACAGCCGCCCAAGGCACCCAGTGCACCCAATGCACCAGGCGCACCAAGTCTACCACAGCTCCCTCAAGTCCCCGATATACCACAGCCGCCACAGGTCCCTCAAGCAGCACCAAAACCCCAGCACCCAACGCCAGTCGCCGTATCAGCCAATGCCACTACTCCTCCTCCCAATGCACCGACCGGGCCTATTGCTATGGCAGATCCTGCACGCCCACCAATTCCTGTTGGTGTACCTCACTCGGCACCGCTCTACACAAATAAAAGCACCGTCACTTCTCTACTGCCAACGCCAGCCCTCGTCAATTACACCATTGACCCATTCATCGACAACCTCAACTTCACAAGGAAAAAGTTCACGGGTACCAGAGGACCTTGTACTGGCTGTGTCCTCTCAGCCAAGCCTATTACTACCTCATTTGTCCAGAGCTTTTTTGGCAATCAGTGGACCAGCACCGTTGTGACAGCGACGGTTGTTACCGAATACATCACCTACATGAACAACAACACCATTGACACAATCGTCACCGAAAAACACACCCTGAACCAGACAAAGACTGTCACAGGCGCCGACAAGAAGCCCATCACTCTTACTACACCTATATTTAGTATAAAGGTGACAGACGGTGCATATGTGACACTGGAAGCAGGTCCCACATACGTCATCTACAACAACCTGGTCGGCGGCCCAGACCTCTATGAGCAACAGCATTTCCCCCAGAGCAATGCGACCCAAAGCCAGTGCACACCGGTAGTCACGCAATTGCATAACTGGCAGCCTGCCAAAACAGCATTCCATGACTGGAATTACTTTATCGAAACGTACTCGACCGGCCTTCCCAATTGCACAACACAAAGCCAGCCCACCCGATTGCCTTCCAAGCTTCTTGAATATCTGGAGCATCAACCTGCTATTCAGTCACAGTTCCAGGGTGCAGATCTTGCTTCATGTTCCGCCAGCGCGCCCATGAGTAAGTCGGCCCTGCCTCCTGCTGCCGTCTTACCCAGTGGCTCCAATCTCGAGGGCGCACCGCCCGCCCCTTTTTTTCCATCAATAACGGGGACTTTCCTTTCGACAACGTACCAGTCAACTTCCGTCTTCAAGACAGTGCAAGGTTGTCTGAGGTGCGACGGGGGCCAAGTCCCCTTTGGGGGCTCCCCAGTGACACAAAATGCTGCTGAATCTTCGCCTACTCCCACGGGCAAATCCAATACCCCTAATGGGTCACCTGCGAATGGGGACCAACCTAACGGACAAACTGGAAATGGACATAATCCTAATGGATCCAACGGAAATGGAGATACGCCCGGCGGACAAACTGGGAGCGGGGATAATTCTAATCCATCCAACGGAAGTGGGGGTAATTCCAATCAATCCAACGGAAATGGGGATAATTCTAATCAATCCAACGGAAGTGGAAACAATCCTAACGGACAAAGCGGAAATGGAAACAATCCCAACGGACAAAGTGGAAATGGAAACAATCACAACGGGCAGACTGGAGATGGAAAATACCCCGCCAACTTGCCTGATTCGGGCCAAATCAATACTGCTGGATCGAACAACCAGGGCCAAGGCGGCTCGACTTCCATTCCCCCTCTAATCATCATTGGAGACCATACCATCAAGCCAGGGGAGACCACAACCGTTGACGGAGTTCCTATTGTCAACCCTACAGACGGTGGAGGAACAAAGATTGTTGTAGGCAGTAGTACACTCGTTTATGAGACTGCACCAACGCCAATTGCTCCTGCAATCACCATCGGTGGGGGAACAGTCACTGCAAATCCTCAGGGAGAGTATGTCGTGGGCACCGAGACGTTGAAGCCAGGGGGCGCCCCGGTCATCGTCAACGGCAACACGGTAAGTGTAGGCTCCAATGGTGTCGCTGTTGTCAATGGAGTTACACAGACGATCGCTGGTGGGTCTGCACCTACTGCGCCACCAGGATCACCGGGATCACCAGGATCGCCAGGATCGCCTGCGCCACCTGGTCCCGTCATAGGTGATCGAACTGCATTTACGGTTTTGCCTGGAGGCTCGACAGTCTATGTTGTATCGCCTGGCCAGACCGGCGGAAGCGGTTGGATTGTACAAGGCGGCACAACAGCTTACGTACTCGCTTCGGGCCAAACTCTCACACCAGGTGGTGTTCTCACTGTTGCGGGCACCACATACTCTCTGCCCGCTGCCGCGCCAGGCTCTACCCCAGGCTCTGTCCCTGGCGCTGCCGTCGTCGTGAATGGCGTTACGTCCATCGTACCGTCGGGCCAGAATGCTGGTGGAAGTAACTGGGTTGTGCAAGGCGGTACAACCGCCTACGTAGTTGCTCCAGACCAGACTCTCACACCTGGCGGCGTCGTTACTGTCTCAGGTACTACATACTCTCTGCCCTCTGGCACGCCAGGTCATGTCATCGTCGTCAACGGCGTTACATCCACCATACCCTCTGGCGCCATCATAACGGCTGCTCCAGAGGTGACAGCGCTGACAATCAACGACATTACGTACGCACAAACCGTAAGAGATGGAACAACGGAATATGTGCTGGGAGATGGCACGACACTCGTACCTGGTTCAACAATTGTGATGGATGGAACAACGTACTCGTTGGACAATTCAGGCACGGCCTTGGTAATCAATGGACAGAAGACGAGCACCATCCCCAAGCTGCCAAAGAGCACCAGTGCGAGCACGACCAGCACGGCGAGCTCGGACTCGCCATCTTCAACAGTCAGTCGCAACGCTGGTGATATTATCGCGAGTGGTGTCGGCGCGACCAGCAAAGGCCTTGGTGCTTCAGTGCATGCCGTGGGCATCGACAAATGGGTGGAGGGCCTAATCATTGGCGTTGCAGGCTGGCTCGCAATGTTATTATAAAAAAAAAGTCGTTTGGGGGTCAGAATGAGGCGATTCATGGTTTCATGCATATAGCGCGGCGCTTGGGGGTTGGGGAACATATCACGACACGGTATGGTAAAACAAAGAGGTGGGACCGGTTTTCTTAAAGTAACATGTACATGGGATTTTTTTTACTAGTTAATATGCTAGAATGACTGCTAATGCGTAATGCGTAATCAGTGTTCGAATGATCCAGTGAGCTTCCGAAGTATCTGCCTTGATTCCTCGCCTGAATGTTTTGAGCAACATGTTCGCAATCTCCTACAGATTCCCTTATTTGCCTTGGTGATACTTTTCAACGAAGCATGTTCTTGGCTTTTGATTATTCAATAAAGTTGCGGAAGAGCGAGTCTTTCACAGAGTGGCCACTAAACTGATGAGGGACCACGGCTGCATGGACTTTGAGGGGACAAGAATTCAACTTTGCCAAGCCATCGTCATGAGCCTTTGGGTGTTGTCAATTTTTAGCGAACGACCGTCTTCGCTCCTGTACGAGGCTTTGTGAACACAAATGTACCTGGAATAGAGCAAAAAAAATCATTTCTACGCCCTTTCCTCCAGGCTGAATTTCCCTCGATGCTGAGCACACATGGATGTGGGGTGAAGTCGTCGGAGAAGATGATTTGCGACCCCATCGGGCTTAGTCGCAACCCAGTGCCGAGCCCGCTCAGAAACCTCATCGCAGCATCCTCACCAGCACCCGCGCTCCGAAAGCTGATATCAATTCAAATCAAATCAGACATGCTGGTTAATTCTCAACTCATGGCATCCGAGGTGGGTAGACGGGTAAATAAATTCATCTCTCTCTTTGTTTCTCTCTGTCTCTCTTTTTTCAAAGGAGTTCATCTAGAATACACATGTCCACGCCTGATATCCATGCGCGCGCGCACTTTAGCTCTGTATATTTTTTTTACAAAGAGTCTGTGAGGAGCTTGTTCATCTTGGCCATCTTGCTGGCGACGGATAAGTCAATGGTGCGGTCGGCAATCTCGACAATGAGTCCACCACGGATTTCGGGGTTGACCTTGGGAACAACCTTGAGCGTCTGGCCGGTGGTGACGTATTGTGAGTTCTTGATGGCCGTCTCGAGGCGGCTGATTGTCTTGTTGTCGAGAGGCTATATTTTGTTAGTCAAAATATTCCGAGCAACCATTCTCTTGATGTTTTTTTTTCAAAGATTTGTCTCCCCGGATATTCAACGTACCGTAGCGCTGGTAACGGTAAGCTCAACCTCACCACGGTGCGCGCCCATGAGCACACCAAACTTCTCAGCAACACCTTGTAGCATGCCCAATCGGTTGTTCTCGGCCAGAGTGGTCAGGAGGTTCTTGACAATGCCGTCCTTGTCGGCGCTGCCAATGTGCTTCTGGAGCTCCTGGACAATCTGCTGCTTGTCGGCGACGGTGAGCGAAGGGGCGTGGAGGATCTGGGTGAGCTTGGCATCCTTCTGGAAGACGCCCTGCAGGGCTGAGAGAGACTTGGCCGTGGGCTCGAGGGCGTTGGTCTTTGCGGCCGCGGTGTACTAACAAATGTTAGCCAGGCTCGTTTCCCGTGCCATTGTCCATCCTCCATCCTCCCATCATCTCCAAAACACCAATTGAATTCGTGGAAATCGTACCAGGGCGCTTGCATAGGTTCCGTCAACACCGAAGAGGGCAACCGGGGGCTTGGGAGAAGAGGCAGCGGCGGCATAGCTTCGAGTGGCAGCGTAGCGGGCGGCAATTGGGGCGCGGGGCGCACCAACCCGGAAAGCGGTGCTAAAGGCACGAGCTGCAGACATGGCGAGTAGAGGGGAGATGAATTGCGGGATGGGGGATTTGATGTATTTTGTGCAATTGGGCTGATAAGAATAGACATGACGCTATAGAAGAGGCGCTTCAATCATGTGTGTGTGTGGAGGGGGGATGGATATTCTTACCCCGGATTCTCGTAGTTATCTGAGCGCTAGCAAGATTGCTATGTTAACATATTTGCTTAGTGCCATGAGTGTGAGTTGACATATTTGCTCAGTTCTATATGTATGTGTATGAGTCATTTATTTATTGCGACAAGTAAGTCATGATATGATAGAAAGAGTGACTTGAATTGTTTGCTTTTTCTTTTCTTTTCTTTTCTTTTTTTTCTGATAAACTACATAGCACGCAAGCGGTTTTTGAGTTTACTCCCCATTGCATACCCTCTGTGATTTATACTCTTTCAAGTGCAGAAATATATAGGTAGTGTACAGCTCGGCAAGGAAAAGGAAAAGGGGGAGCTAGACTAGACTAGACTAGACTAGACTAGACTAGACCACGTATTGTGTTGTGGTTATTGTCGTTGGGGAAGGAGACGAGACTTGGAGCCAGCGAATACAGTAAGTAGAGGCATAGCGAAGCATAGCAAAAGTACAGTAAAAGTAAAATAAAATAAAGCGACGTTCTTCATCCCTCACTTATCCACATCCATAGCCATATCCCACATCCCTCTGCTTGCCCTTCCCCTTTCCCTTTCCCATGCCCATGTCCTTGGCACCCGCCTGCGCCTGCTCCTCGCCCTTCATCGACGCCATCAACCTCAAAGCCCTCAAGCGCCTCCTCTTCTCCCTCAGCGCAAACTCACGTTTCCACTGCGCATCGTACTCGTGCCTCTGGGGCGTCGCAACACGGATGTCCAGCGGTGTGGCTAAGCCGCGCTGCTCGGCGCGGCTGTACTCGCCCGAGCGGAAGCGGTACCAGTCGAGCAGTGTGTTGAGGTGTGCGGGGCTGGACACGCGGACGAGGCCGTGGGTTTTTGTTCTCTGCTCGCGTGCAGTGATGCGTTAGTCTAATCCTTCCGTGTGTCCATGTATACACTGCTTTTTTTTTCTTCTCTTTCTTTTAGGGCATGAGGGCCATGCAAGTGGTTGGTGTAAGATGAAGAGAGAAAAAAGACGTACGACGATAGTTGGAAAAGCCAGGAAGAAAGGGGGTGTTTTGTCTAGCTCGGCGAGCGTCATGGGGCGGTGAGATGTAGGCATTAGACTTGGTGCTTCGGCGAGGGATGAGAGTGGTTTGAAGCGCTGGGGTGATGATTGAGTTTGTCCTTGGTCTTGGTTCGAGGCGGGTAGAAGGCCGAGAATCGATTCTTGAAAGGGGGGCGGAGGATACAGAATCGATTGTATGTCGGAGTGTGTTAGTAGTGGAGGTGGTGGAAGCGGCGGCGGGGGCGGCGGGTCTTGCGGTGGAATGATTCCGGTGGGAGGCGGCATTAGAGATAGATTTGTTGTTGTGATATTGTGTAGTGGTTGAATAATGTAGAGGGTTTGTAGATAGACACATGTTATACACTTGATGGCTTCTTCCTAGGCTGTTGGGGAAGGAACGGCTTGTCAACCGTGGCTCAACCGGACATGGTTGTGTAGAGGGAATCAGAAGGTGCGAGATTCAAACAAAAGTCCAACCATTACAAAGAGCGAGAAACAGTCTATGCCAGTCTATTGTAGCTTACAGTAATTCCTACCATGGTCTACTTGCCAGCGGCACAGGCTCACTTCGACCGCCATGCCCAAAAAGCCCGCAATGCAAATACCTGCCGAGTCACTTACACTTGTCGCGCCCAGGCTAAACTCGCGGTCCTCTTTTGGTACATTGTCAGTTATCTCAGCAAACGTGCTTACGTAGACGAGGCCGCCCAGTAGGCCTTCCCAGAATATAATGATGCACACGATATAGTAGCTCGGGATGAATGCAAACATGGCGTGCAGTGTAAGCAGAATCAGATTGCCGACTTGAAGGAAAGAGGGAAGGTAGAGATGGTGGATGCGTATAAAGGGCGTAGAGGAGCGCGAGATGAAGACACCGACTTGATAAATGGCATTGTAGGTGCTGTAAAAGGAGCGGTACTCATCAAAGGGGGAAGACTCGAGGGGGAAGAGCAGCGTGGGCGCGACGCCTTGGTTGATTGTGTACTCGGCAACGTAGACGAGGAAAAGCGGCAGCATACTAGAGGGCGTTAGTCGCAAGTAGACGTGGCGTGGGTGCACGTGAAGCATGTTGCTTACTAGGGGAGGACTAGGCCTCTTGCCCGATGGAGTTTCGCCTGCAAGCTACTCAGCGCACGGTTAGCAGGCTTAGTGTTGGCGGAGCTGAAGGTGCGGCCCGAGGCCGAGTGCATCGAGGACGACAGCAGATCGTCGTGTTCCCTCGACTCGGTTGCTTCTTCTTCTTCGTCGCCGTCACTTGGCTCTTCGTCATCGATGGCCTCATAGTCGGCGTGCTCCTTGGTGCCAGCGCGAAGTGGGCCGAGCGGCAGGACGACGAAGAAGCTGACGACCATGACCAAGGGCAAAAAGGAAAAGACCAACAGGCTTGTTCGAGGATCAATGCGTAGCGTGTTTGTCGCGACGGCGTATGCGCCGGCGCCAATCAGGCCCGCGCCTCCCGTGCCCGATCCCCAAGAAGCAAGTGCAAAGTGTCCGTAGAAATGCGTCAGGCCCAGGAAGCTAAGCTCGCCGGCGCCGCTGCTGAGACTGGCCAGCATGACGCCCACCATCTTGATGGCAATGGTCGCAGAGTCTTGGCGGGGCGGGGTGAGGGCAATGATGAGCATGCCGCCGGCCGACAGGGCGACAAAGGCGAGGATGCGCACATGGTAGGGCATCTTGTGTATGAAGTAGGGGGCGCATAGCTTGGTCACAAACGAGGGCAGCACGTCGGCGAGGAGCACCACGCCCTTGGGCACGTCTGGGCCTACGAGGTCGAGGGCGGCCGAGAGGATGATTACGTAGAGAACGTTGTTGATTAGGCCTGGCGCCCTGTTAGTTGCGGGTGTGCCTCTGCCTCTGTTTCTTGGAATGCGGATACAGGCAGGGGGGGAGCAGTCAAACAAGACGTACCAAACAACCAGAAGGCGGCGCAGACACGCGGATCAGCGCCTTGGAAGGCGGCGTGCAGGCGCTGGCGGTAGAGGGCCCAGGAAGACGCAGGAGAACCAGGCATGGGGAGAAGCGACATGTATGTGTGTGGGGGGGATGGAGGGGAGGAGAGGGAGGAGAGGGGCGAGGGGGCGAGAGGGAGAGGGAGAGGGTGTGTATGTGCCAGGCACGTGTATGTGGGTAGGTGTAGGTGTAGGCGTAGGCGCAGGCGCAGGTGTGGGTGTGGGTGCAGGCGCATGTGCATGTTCAGCATGGATGCAGGCACCTGACGATCGGGGCTTGGCGTTGGGCGGTCAGGGAACCATCCAGGAACGGCATGCATGGACGACGCCGGCGCCTGGTGGTCCGAGGTTGCATCGCCGTTTCTTTTTGGCGTGCGACCAGGACTGCCACTGCGGCGAGCAGGTCGTGTCTGCAGCGAGGGTGTCGTCTACGCATCATCGCCCATGCACTGGCTGGCACACACACACACGCTCTCTCACACGGCTCGGTTTGCAGGCGGCTCCCATCGCATCGTGCATGCACCCACCCATCCACACGTCGAGAGATACGTAGCGCAGCGGTGCTGGCGGGCTGGGGGGGCCCTTGTCGGCGCACATGCGGGGCTCTCTCGCTACAGGGATGCAGGGCTAGCCGCCTTGTCGCAGTTTGGTGCCAGTGCGCCTGTTCTCGTTTCCTCGCATTCTCGACGCTTCTTCTTCTTCTCTTGCTGCCGCTGCCGCTGCTGCTGTTGCTGTTTGGTCTTCTGCTCCCTTTGCACGCCCGCGACTCTGCCCCGTCGGCCTCGCCACACCACCCCCCACCGCCCCCGACTGCATCGCTGCACCGCTGCATCGCTGCCCACACGCCGCCCACGCCGCCCACGACGAGCAGGAGCCACAGCAGTCGCTCCGTCTCCGCATACGAGCCCGCCTGCCTGCCGCCTCCCCATGAGCCCCAGCCTGCGATGAACCGCCCCCCGCCCTTCCAACGCCCACCAGACCGCCCCATGAGCCGCCACGCCCAGAGCCACCAGGCCTACCCGGCCTATCCCCCCGCCTCGCCCTCGCAGCAGCCCTCGCAGCAGCCCTCGCACGCTGCCCACGCCGCCGATGCAAACTCGACTGCTCGCCGCGACCCCTTCTACCCACCGCGCCCGCAGCACGCCAGGCACGCCAGCCAGGGACTGGCGGGAGGAAACAATGCGCCCCAAGGTCAGGCAGCCGAGGGGCACGGGCAAGGACAAGGGCAGACAGCCTGGCCCAACACAGGTACGGACAACCGCTTCACACCCATTTGTTCAGGCGCGCGCATGCTGGCGCAGAGACCGTGGCCGCTGCAGCTGGGAGACGCCGACTGCAGGCGCAGGCAGGCCGAGGTGCAAGAGACGGCCATGCATGGTAACAGCGGGCGGCGACATGGAGGGGCGTCGACAAGCCGGCCAGCGACTCGATATGCTCGGCCATTGCCTGCATGAACGTGGTGCATGACACGTCAATTGCAAAGAAGCACTTCACCGCTTGTTGCCGTTGATGTGGTGCAACGAGCGAGTGCAGGCGGGCGGGCGGCGGGCGGCTAGGCGTGCTTGTACGGCCCAGCGCCCTCTGCGCTGCCCACACGGAGCACGCCTTTTGTCGGTGGAGAGGGCATGGGTTTGGCGAATTTCATGGGCGCACTCCGCATCCGTGGCTCCTGGCTAATGCAGGATCGGCGGGCCTCTAGCCCTGTTCTGACCAGTCGCGCCTCTCCGTCCGAGCTTGTGCTGATCCTTGTCTC